TTCGTATAGTTATTAGTCTACCTATGTAACCTACCTAAGGTAGCTAATGGCGCTGTTTACATGGTTCGGGGTTCTCTCATCAGAAGCATCATTCCAGAAGAGTTGGACCCCATACCTACATGCGAGTTCCCTACTTTGGCTTTTTACAAGATCCCGCGCGAAGTTAGGATCATCATTGTTAGCAAGCCAAGAAACGTGTAGTTGTAGATCATTGTAAGCGGACATATGTGTATGCCAATGTGTAGTGTAAGTTATAGACGAATTTCAATACACGTATAAGGATCTTATAATGCTCTCCTATAATCAAATCCATCCCATTGTCATGTTACAAAGATACCAGGTCTTAATTTCTAAATTTAATTATTTAGTAGGAACCGACACTCTGGAACCGCAGTATCAAATGTCAAGGGATAGGATTACATGATGATCCATCGAGCCATCGATCCTTTACGTTCGAATACCGTCTATCCGTACTTATTTCCAGGGATGAAGGCCGTTCCATCTCTCCATTCTAGAAACGCTAGAAGCAGTGGAGAGAGCCCACACCTATTAAGAGGATCTAGGATTCCTATATAGCCTCGGTGAAATTGCGAATGACGGCAAGTCCGTAGTATCAGTTACGGCGGCATTATTAGATATGTGCACGAATGTGAGGGATACCAATGCATCCGGTCGCGGCGGCTGTTACAGGATACTTGAATACGAAGCGCTGATGGGACTGAAACCATGGTGTAAATTAAACACACAACTTTGCTCTCATGTTACATAGTGTACATAGAATAAGGAATCGAGATCTGCTTGTAGATCTTGGACCCTGTGGTGACGGAGACTGGGTTGACAGGTACCATTGCCGGAACTTATATTTTAGCTTTGTGCTCTAGTTGTATCGCCTCTAACTACTCTAAGGGTAGACTAGCAGATAGATGACAAACGAGCGAGCTTGATATTGTTTCCAAGAGCTGGACGACAAGTATGTCGATATATGTATACATTCGTTACATTGCTGACCGTGACGCTTACGTTTAAATCACTTAGTTAATTAAGCAATACATCACACTGATACGGGTTATGACATCGCGGGTGGTTTAAAGATAGTCTTTTGAGTACGTCGTAAGAGCTTAAGTAAACGATGTAACGGATCCTCCACTGTACGACAAGATGACTTTTACCGTAACAAGTCTTATGGAAGAACTCTTTGCCAAGGCCCTATTTACACATACATGAGTCGGGTGTAGGCCGGGAATAGGAATAATTAGGCATGAACAGATCGCGAATGTAAACTTTCGTTTTGCTATGCGACCTACAGAAATATACTACGGTACTAAATTGGTAGGTAGGTATCATACATATGTCTATCACACGTCGAGTTAAATAGTATTGGTGCTCTGGTGTTTAAATTTGCAGCGAATAGAAGAGGACTTGAAATTACATACAAAGGCATGCAAATATCTAATGGGTCGGTAGATTGAGTTGCATACTACTATGTACATACTTACGTCTTACGAAGAGTCTCCAACTTGCCTGCTTGCTGACATTACTGTATGTACCTATGCAGTTTGAACTTGACCTCGTGCAGCCTCACATCTAAACATGCAACGTGCGCACTGCCGTGGCCGTGCAATAAAAAGGGCCAAACAGCAGGTGGCACAGTTCCGTTTTGGCAATCTAAAGTCAATGAACCACATGGCGATTGCACGTGGAACTAGAGCCTATTGGTTCTAGTATGCCTTCTCAACGTGCTATGCAGTATCGCGCATCGATATTAGGTTGTGTGAATTATTACAGGTCGCTAATAGGACGTCTTAATTATCTTGGTGTCATCAATATCAGGGTGATAATGTAAGTGGGCGGGTCTTCGGATCTGGGTTGTATACAAGGTTGTATATATACATACCTCTTAACCGTACACCACACCGTGACTTGGCGGACACCTCAGGCAATGCTGGCAATGCTAGATTCCTCTGCCTACCTACTATGTAACATATGTATAGCGCGGATAGGGTTGACACGATGTCGGATCGGTCGTGATCACCGAATTCGGGTTAAGGAGGACGAAAAGAAGATGAAAAAGCCACCGGCTCGGATTTGGTAGCGAGAACTCGGAGATGGTTTTATGTGCCGAGCTCGTCAGCTCTATTTTGTATTGATGGCTGGATGGCTGACTGGAAGCAGCAGATCATGTCGTCCATTAAGCAGTTTTAACACATTGTGGCGGTGGCACGAACATTTATGCGCTCTTTGCAGTGCAGCTCTCTCTGCGTCTGCATATGTACTAGGTAAAGCACACAGTGTTAGGAAAGGTGGTGCCCACGGCTCGTGTAGAATCATTCTAAGCCTAAAGAAGGCTAGGATCGTCAAAGGGAAAAGGAGTGTCGCTGCAGAAAGTCAACCATAATAGATGAGGAGTGGAAGATACTGGTTGGTGGAAGCCATCCCTGGAAGCACGTGCAGATCTGTCGGTCTGCCAAACCAAATGTGTTGGACAAATCGGGCCACCTGGAGAAAAAACATGCTGGGCATAACTATGAGCGGAGTCAAGTAACATTTAGGTGGAGGCGGGAAAGGCCCCTAGCCATTAATGAATTAGCATGGCAAGCAAGGGTTAACTGACTGGGGAGTGTCGTCAGGAGACCGGTGGGCGTTGCGTTTAAGGGAACATGGGGTTTTGAAAGAGAACGAGAGAGGGAAAGACGGTATGGTAGTGTATGTACGAAGTGTGTACGAAGTATGTATGTATGTATTCAACCTCGACATCAATTCGGGGTCTGTTGCTAATTTGAAAATTCTTCATAGCCACTCCATTTCGTGACCGCATACATCCGGTCGATATATACGTACGTAGGGGCTCTTTCGTTATGATTTGCCTTTAGATATGATATTAGCTCTAGTTAATGTCTGTCTCATTCAAATTCGACTATGCCTTAGACAATCCTACCTAGATGCCACCCTCCGTGTGCTACCACACGAGGTCGAAGCATCATTTACGGATCCGTACTCTCATCCACAATATGTTTCCAGGAGGAGAAGCCCGGCGGCAACGTGCTGTGACCATGCAGTTTCGCTTTATATGTATGTCTTAGCTGTATGCTCTTTGCACCTTGTGTAATTGAGATCAGGTTGCTGCTGATGTTTTGAGCTCTGCTGTGGATGGTTGCCTTCATACCTATCCGATGATCCCTCCCGTAAGGGTTTGCGAGTATGCACTCGTGTAGGATATAGACCGGACTAAGAGCTTAAGCAAATGAAGTTCTTTTTAACAAGACACCTTTACATTATGTAGGTAGGTAGGCAGTATGTATAATACTATAGTAACCCTTGTAGTTACCACGTGATGAATGCTACCGCGTATTTAAGGACTATAGATACTCGAGTAGATCAATTATACTATTCTACCTAATATAGGTCAACATGTAGGGGAACTTCAACTTCAAACAGACGTACTACTGTGTATGTAGGAGAGGAGGAAACGTACGTTACGGTTATCTACGGAGTCCTCGTCGCTTCGAATACACTACACGTACCTATCTCAGAAATAAGGGCGAAAGTAATACTTTCGGGCCAGGATCATTTAGTGCCTCGTGGCCGCCCCGGCAGTGTAACAGGTAGGTAGGTAGTAAAACCGTGGCCTGGTTCAAATGTGTGTATGTACATAGGTACCTATACAACCATTTAAGTACATCAATACAATAAATGCGCATTATATTGGCCCCTCTCCAACGAACGTGCTTATTCCTCCACCGCACATGGCGAGCATGGCAAGCCACAAATGACGGGGATTTACAACTTCGAATGGCAGGTGGCAGCCCACTTAGGAGATGCACTAAAATATATTATCCACATCGCAAATGACCAATTGATTCCATCCCAAAATTCTTCACTGCGCTGCTGGGTTCGTTAGACCCAGACCCAGATCCGAAAGCGGGCATGTTCGGGTTTCAAATGCAGGCCGACCAAAAGTGAAGATGCTATGTTACGAGCCGTCTAAGGAGTCTTGAAAGGGGATCGGGAAGTTTTCCAGAATAATTGACCACGTTTTTAGGAGACTCCCGCGCAGCTATCGAAATTTGACACACGGACCGCGCTACTATTCCGAGAAAAAATCTCTATTGTTCATGGTGTCAGGGGTTGGAATCAATCGTTGCGCCTAGCGTACACTATTAGTGTAGTTACTTGGGTAGCCCTTCACGGCATGGGAGCCTGGGATGTTGCTGTACCGCTGTACATATTGTGCCGCTGTCCGTCGCGTGTACCGTTCTGTAAGTAAGCCAGCCGTACATAGCGGAGCACGCATGTGGCTCCCGCCCGCGCTATAGGTACCTCCTAACCTACCTCCTGGTATGTAGGTACCTAACCTATAACATCTAAGCAGCCTAGGGCAGGCTTTCTATGACAGTGGGCCACCGACTTACAGGGGGATAGTAGACCCTCCTGCGCTAAAACGCTAGAACGTTGATGACTGATGACTGGATTTTTGAGTACATGCCTCACAGCGCTATAATCTATTTTTGTACTGGGTACTTAACTCTCACCACTAATCGCAAGCCGTTCGTAAGTTCCCTGCACCCTGTACGTACACATGCAACGCTGTCGCCCTACCCACCTAATCTGAACTGGGTACATAACGTGTGCGCCCGTCCGTTAGGCAAATCGCTAGTATGTTTAAAGTACCTAACTTCCTAGAGCTGATGTGGACCTACACACTATATGTACCTTTAATATGTAGGTACCTAGACTGATACTTAGATGTACCTACCTATCCTTCTGCCTTCTCTACCCTCTACACTACCACTTCTACCACCCCCGTCCCGCTTCTCAATCGTTCCCATTCTATGCCTTCAACTTGAACTCCACTCCCTCCTTCTCCTCTCCTCTGCCTTATTTCAGTTTCCTCAGTTGGATCCGAGCCGTTATATCATCCTCATGCTATTACTTGGCCCGCTTATGCAAACGTAAAAGAAACCCGTCTGCTTCCCCCTCGTCTCGATGGTAAGTATAGGTTGATGGCTGCAATCTCCCAAACCTCTCAAACGACATCGCTTCCTATACACGACCACGAGCCTCGCCAGCTACGATCCCACTCAAATTCGAATAGTGACGCCGCGGTGCCTGCTGAAAACCATAATCTTTCCCCCGCCACCATAAGAAGAGTACATTCGAACACTCCCGTTGAAACTGCCACTGGCGATCCGATTACTTCCTCGAACAATTTTCGTCACCACCAAGTTACTGCGTCGATCGGCTCTGTTCCCGCCGTTACTACAAAAAATCCTAAGCCTGGAGGGTTGTTTGCTCGTGCTGCCGCAGCAATTGATAAGATATCAGAGCCTACTATTCGCAGTCGATCGTCTGCGTCTACTCTGAGTCGCTTGTCTGTAGTGCTAGACTCTCCGAGCAGCGAGAATTCGAGTTCGGACAAGTCAAGAATCCGTAGTTTCTCGGGCAACTCATCCGGTCCTTCTACCCCTTCTCTTCTGAGCCCGGTCAAGCGCACAAGTCAGTTGTCGTTAAAAGATCCCATCTCGAAGCCGTATTCCGAGACAGACGCAACTCGACCCCCTCCGATTATATTGTCTGGCACGCAGAACAAAATGCATCAAACGTCTTCGAGACTACTCCGCATGACGGACGATGACCGCCCGTTCACTAAAGTAAGTCGACTTTTGTTCCGTTAAGTATTCATAGAGTATACCAGTAGTAGACACTGCCAATCTAGGATTTGTAGAATCTGCCCATAAAATTTATCACAATAGTTGCTTTTTATTGTTATACTAATAATATCTTAAGGATTTCAAAGATCTTTTCTCAACATTAATCGTCAGCTTGCTTCCATTATCTGCTCATCGAGTACGGTTAACTCGCATCGAGCATACCTTCCTGTCTGAAGATGCGATAAATAATCTGGGTTCATTGAAGTTTTCCCAATCAAATCGTATGCCAGATCCTAAGGATCCGTCACGTATCGTAACGACGACTACAACGACCACCTTCTCCATGGCGAAGGATATGGCTAGGTCGATATGTCAACGGTTTCTTGATGCTCGTTTCATTGAATCAGCTGACGGCAAAATGCAACAAGTCTATACGATGAAGGGCTCCGTATGGCAACTGACGCCGAAGGGTGTATGCGTCCTGGATCGTTTCTGTTCAAGAAACGGTATACAGCAAAGGCAGATCAGCGACCTCATCGCTTTGGGGATGAGCTATCTATGTATCCTCGAAAGGGATACCCAAACCGATAAGTTGGTAATGGATAGGGGAACGATGGAGGTCATCTTTAGGAGGATGATAGGTACGAATGGTCTGAACATTAAGTCAAGTGTTGGTGCGGCCGATTCAGACTCGTTGAGCGATTACCGAGATGGTCTCACTGGCGTGAAGATGGCTAGCGAACGCAAAATTAATGGCAGGACGTACAAAGATACGTTCACTGGGAAATCATGTTCGGATTGGTTAATGGATTGTTGTACTACGGTTGACCGCCGCGAGACGTATGAAATGGGCACTCTGTTCGTTCAGTATGACCTCATGGAGGCTGTCCAGCAAGACCGAGTTTATATGGCTTCTCAACCTGGCGCTGTTTCATTCCAACCTACGAAGACTGCCGTCTACCAACTCACCGCCAAGGGAAGAGATATTATTAGCGGTGGTTCAGGAAGAGGGCGCACATCTGAAAGCGAAGGGGCCGTGTCATCGCGTACAGGTATCGCCAGGGACTCGAATACCCAACGTCTCGACAAGATCTTGAGCGATGCTGCTTTGCGACTACTATTTCGGGAAAACCTGCGGGAAACTCACTGCGAAGAGAACCTGTCGTTCTATTTGGATGTGGATGACTTCGTAAAGTCTTGCCGTACCGCGATCAGGCAGGCCACGAAGACCCCTAGCGCATCAACTATGGATGGGATTAAGGAAATTATGGCTCAAGCATACGGTATTTACAATGCGTTTCTGGCGCCGGGCTCGCCCTGCGAATTAAATATCGATCATCAATTGCGGAATAATCTTGCTACTCGTATGACTAAGGCAGTAGGGCAAGACGTAGCAATGATTGACACGCTTCACGAGGTTAATACCCTTTTCGAAGATGCCCAGAATGCTGTCTTTAAGTTGATGGCCAGTGTAAGTACTAGTCGAGTGCAACCATATTTCATCAATGGCTAACCTATCTACAGGACTCTGTGCCCAAGTTTTTGCGCAATGCGAAATACGAACATACATTGAAGAATTACGACTTTGATGCAATCGTTGTTGGAGGTCGCGCGCCGGAACGCAGCCGAAGTCAATCCAACCGCAAGTGAAAAAAAGATGATGATTCGGGGCTATTTTCGAAACACCTCACGTTGAGCAGACGGCGTAATCCGATTTTACGAAAACGGTGTTTTCATATATTCGATCCCGCTCATCTACCGTCTATTATCTTTTTCTTGCCTTAGCTACGTCACTAACTAGTGGCGTTTGATCGCGAAGACGTTAATAGCAATCTCCGACATTTGTTTCTCGCTTAAGACTTTCTTTGTTTACTTGGGCGGCGTTGAGGATAAACTAGCATAGACACCATCGGCGTTCTGAACCGCACCTTATCGAGTGGCTCATCTGAATTTTAACCACGAAGCGCAAAAGGGGAAGGAAAATTCACCAGAGTATATAAGGAGGTTTTTGGTACGAGAAATGGACGAGCTACTGCACGACGGTTTCCCATGGGCGATCCATCCGCACAACGGAAAGCTCGAGGTACGTCGTTGAGCAAGTGAGCTGAAGTCGACGATGCTTGGAATTATAACGTCGCGGCTTTAGAGTTTATAATGAATCACAGCGTTTACTAGGGATATAGAGAGAGTGGTCTTGGGTTTTCGTAACCCTGCATCACCGGAGCATTTGCAATCCGCAGCTATGAGCGGCGATTGAGCAGTGGAGGGCGCATTTTCGGCCAAACCGCTGGCTGGCACTCTGTACATACGATTGGCTAGACTAAGGCTGGCGAGCTATCCGCTGCGGTCCTCAAAAATGGAAATCAAAATTTGAATCAGGGAGAGCCATATTCGGCAGTGAAACCAATTGGAACTTGAATCACTATGTGCATTATTAAGTCGTTCTCATATTCGATCGCCGTCCGGGCCTAGGGGAAGATGGAATGGAGTCAAGATCGAAGTAGGTTGATCTCGGTGTCAGATGCATTCCAAGACGCGAGGGGGGAAAGGAAATAAGGAAATGCGACATCGGCTTTTGTTTTTGTCTCTGGTTCTGCAACAAACCTATTGGTGGCTGTCGAGTATTGCCTGTCTAATTGCAGATTCTCCCGAGCTAAGTCAGCGCCCTTTGTTCCTCTTCTCCCTGGGTTCTTTAAAGATGGCTTCGTCTCCTCCCCTCCCCTACCATCATCTATTTCTTCTACACCATCCTCACACGCTCGCTTGTTTCCTCGTCGTTCGTTAACTGTTGCGCTAGACATTCGCTCTTAGTCTTCGTTTTTAGAGATTCGCTACTTATCTCTCTCTCTCGTCAAAGACTACTACTATTACTGCCACTACTAACAACCTATACCTTACCGCAACAGCACCTACGAAAACGAAAAATGTTCCACAAGACTGCCGCTGCCTTGGGCCTGGTTGCCGTCTCCGGCGCCGCTGCTGGGTCTGCTGGAGGGTACCCTGCGTATCCCGTTAACAACACGGCTCCGGCTCCCTCGTCCGTCTGGCAGTACTACAATACTACGGTGCCCACGACGGTCGTGGTGCCCCAGTTCACTACCGTCTGTCCCGAGGCGACGACCCTGAGCTACAATGGCGTCCAGTACACTGTTACTAAGGGCGAGACTGTCACTGTTACCGACTGCCCTTGCACTGTTCCTACGGTAAGTAGTATATTGCTATATATACATATTCCTCAATATGTGTGTGTACCATTTTCTAACTCTTATCCCTAAAGGTTGTCCACACTCTCACCTCGTCTCTCTGCCCGCCTGGCGTCACGCCCACCGCCGTCGTCCCCGCGGTCCCAACCGGTGTGCCTTATCCCGCCGAGACGCCTGCTCCCGGTACTCCCGGTACTCCCGCAGTCCCCGGCGCTCCTGGCGCTCCTGGCGCTCCTGGCTCTCCCGGCAAACCTGGCTCTCCCGCCGCTGGTACTACTCTTGTCGTCCCCGCCCCGGCCGGCACTACACCAGCCCCTGGCGCCCCTGCCCAAGGCGGTTCTGGTGGTTCTCCTCCCGCAGGCGCCGCCCCAGCCGAAGGCACCAGCGGCGCTGCTCCCGTCGCCAACACGCCTAACCCGCCTGCCGGCACCGCGGGGTACACCCCGTCTGCGGTCCCGTCCGGCATCGCGGTCTCGGGCGCGGGCAGCAGCAACTCTGGCTTCGCGGCGGCGCTGTTTGCTGCGTTCTTGGGAGTCGTTGCTTTGTAAGAGGTGCTGGGCTGGAATTTCAAGTCTAGTCTAGTCTAGTCTAGGGGGTCTAATTCGCGTTTACTTGATGACTATGTGGCACATCTACAAGGGGAAAATGCGACGACTAACCTAGAGGAAACGAAACGAATGGAGATGGCGTATCGCTGTGTACGTGCGAGAAACGTACACTTGCATCCCGTGGTTAGAAGGATATAATTGTCTATTTTCCTATCCCGTCTATCTATCTATCTATCTGTTGATCGACTGATCAAAATTTTTCCTTTGTCATGACTGGTTCCTTTTCTCCTGTTGGTTATTTCCTGAAAAGTAGAGAGGTTGGGAGGATAGGTTAGGTTAGGTACCTATGGATTGGATTCGGACTTGGCAAAGGGGCGTTGTTATTACTATTTTACTTCTCGCTATCTTCTCTACGTAGACGTGTACTTACACCCGAACTATCCTTAACGCGGGTCGCGGGTTCAATAAATTCACGCCTACATTCCTTCAGGTATTTGTGTTTAAGGAGTATTGCGTCTTGATATGTGTCTTATGTCATATTCTCCCCTGAGTTCCAACCCTTACAGATCCTCGCCCTAACTTCGCTGTCTGAGGTTTATAGGTTCTGTAGTTCAATACACTTCTCACAGCCTTGACAATCCATGGTCAATGACGAGCTGTGTTTATCTATTTGGTATCATACTTTCGTCATCCTTGTTGTTTAAGCAGGTTGAGCAATGATTCTCATGGTGCCCGAATGTGTCATTCTATATTAATAAGATATTTCAAAAAGGTCTCAGACTACGTTCGTCAGACGCCTATTGATTGAAAGTATCTTCTCATTGAGCATTTGCGAAGTGTCTATTGGACACATCGTCTATATCCCGTTATCGCAATTAACATGTGGGGGGTTGGGTAGCGGACTGTATATTCTCATCGAATCATTTTCATTAAGCCTTTCCAGATCTATGCTACCAAGGCCTCGCTATACTCAAGCAAACAACTTTTGTCCATATGCTTTGCTGTGCAACTCTCGTCCCTAACGCCGTCAATTTATAAGAGACCTTTCCATGGTCATCTGGGTGCGAAGCAATGTCATCCCTTGGGTCTAATAATATAAAAAAGGGCAAAATATAATGCCGATGTATGCGACTCATGAGGTCATGTCTTGGAGAGGACATTGCCAGTATTAAGGGTCATCCCAAGCTCCGGCTGTAGCTAAAGAAGCATTATTTCGGCCTCGTTTGGTCGCTTGATATACAAGGGACACAAGATACATTTATCGATGTAATACGCGGAGGTCTGTACTCATATCGATGAGGGGGCCTGGTCTCGTCTCCAACCCTTGCTTCTCATGTTCCCCTCGATAGCCTTCCAAATATGCTCGACAATCTCGTGATCTCTCCACCGGCTCGAATCTATCGTATTATGAATCGACTCCTTCCACGGATCTATACCGACGCTCATTACTCTGTGCCCCCAGTTACGTACGGCCTCGGGAGGCTTTTCATTTCGCCAGCCGACGTAGATACCGGGAACGTGGCGGAATAACTCGCTGGGGTTGCTCCACTTGTAGTTCTTGAATTGCCAACTCTGGCCAGTCGTGAAGACTGCAACTACTCGATTCCAGTATTCCGGCTTGAACTGTTCAGGGCCTTCGACCAGGATAAACCTCATAGGTCGATTCGGGTCGATGTCCTTTAGTAGGCGGTTGATGTGCAGCATACTCGCACCTGTGCTGGAACTAGCAGACAGCGAGTTAGGCGGAACATACTGGCCATTCTCGAGGAAAGACTTGACATTCGTCATGCGGAGGAGAGAGGAGGCGGAAGGCGAAAGTAGGATAATAGGATCGGGTCGTCTAGGTTTCTTGTGTGTGGCCAGCGCCGGGTTATTAGATATGGCAGTAGGTTGAACTTGTTGCGATTTCTTGGACATGAGGGGTGCAGCTAGCTTTCGAACGTGCGAGAAGTCCTGTAGAATATTAGTTTCGATCTAGCCGAAGAAAAGATAGTAAATCATACCGTTGGCTTGATGCCTCTAAGCACACTGTTTCGATCGCCCATCTTGCGCTCACTATTATAGATAACCGCAAGTCTTGGATCCAAGGTACCCTTGCCAGACCTCCCTAGCTTCGCGCCGATCGCAGGAGCTGCTGCACCCTTGGAAGCAAGAGCTGCAGCTGCAGTAGAAGTTGAGCCATCCTTATCTCCGGCCAGCGGTTTAATGTACTCGCATTCTTCGCTAGCTCCCTCGAGCCATGTGATAAGATCTAGCCGCTCGACAAAGGCAAGCATGCGGACTTGTCCCTTGTCCCCGAGCTCCTCGTTGAGCTTCGATACAGAGGCATTGTACTCGGGAATTGCAACTTCTCGCTTCAACCAGGCAATGTAGATACTGCGCAGATCTACAGGGGTATCGTTTGAGGTGAATCGGGTCTGGGTATCGATAGGGAGGGATATGTGGGAGGGGGTGGAGAAGGTGAGGTGTGTCGCTTGCGAAAGGGGAACCTCTTGCGCTGAGACGTCGCTGGACGCGGTCGGTAGAATTGCGCCTCCAGACGCGATGGACTGGCGAAGTAGGAGGAGGGGGTCTTGCTCGGTGGAAGCCATTGTCATAGGCGACCTATTCAGGCGTAATACCGTTAAGAAGTAGCTGTTAAAATGATGGGATGACAAAAGCTTGAACTCCAGATCCAACAGTTGAAAAAGAGTTGGATGAAGCTCAGCCTCGGGTGGTTTGCAATTGAACGCGAACAAGGCTGGTCTTAGCGCGAATTTAAAGTGCTTACAGCAATATTTCTCCACATACCCTTCTTTAATGTATTTGTATGCATATATACGGTACATACCATCAATATACGGTATATATACGATACCCACCATCTTTAACTGGACGGACCTCTTTTCAATCAACTTTTGTACCTTGTGTATCTCTTTCTCATGCTTTCAATATAACTTCTGGTTTGCCGTAATAGCCCCAACGTGAATGTATACCTTAGGTAGGTAACTTGGAATTTTTAAATGTAGGGTTGTATATATTTCACTACGATACCCTCACTTTATTCTTAATATCTACCTCCTAGCCCCTGTTCAAGGTGTTTCCGCTGCCTTTAGGGTTGGCCTCTGTGAACTCATCCCATTCCCTAGCCTTCATGGTCTCAGCATCTGCCTTCTCGATATTATCCTCATCTGGTTCAGGCCTATTAAAGCTAGCTTCTCCGCCACCTTCAATGATATTCCCTCGTCTTCGTTCTTCTTCTAGGTACTCATCAATAGTCATAGTTGGAAGATTATGGCCCGGGCGAAACACGCCCCTCTGAAGCTCTGCCCGATTAGACGTGAGCATGAATGGCCTTAAAGGCTTTCCCTCTCTACTGAGAAGTGGGCCATTACTCGAGGATAGGAGAGTGCTCAGAGGGGTGTCTAATCTGTCCGAATAACCATCGTTATCATGCGCTGCTCTACGCCGCCGCTCGTCATCTTCGCCTGTTGCTTCTTGCGACGTTGAAGGGGCTGGTGCTTGCGCTAATATTTCCGCCTCTCGATTGATTCCCTCTAAGCCCTGGAATGTCATGTGTGTATAGAAAGCAACGTTCGTGAGATACAGCTCGCGAACAGCTTCTTCATCTCCGCCGTCCTCTAGATATCGTGGAGAGCTTCGCATATACTCTAGCTTCTTCTTAAGCTCCTTTTCTGCTTTGAAATTGGCAATTTTGGCGTTGCGTCGAGCCGTCGGATCTGAGGTAGATATAGTAGAGAAGGCTGATGGATCTTCATTATAATCGGCGAAGAGCTTACTGTCCGATGAGGATAATATCGAATAGTTGTCGAGAAGATGTAGAAACTTTTCATACGCTTCCCGGGTCGCATTCAAAACAGCCTTTCTTTCTGAGGGTGACTGTGTTGAGACCTTCTGAAGGAGCTCAGCTATGCGATAGTTGACCAATAGGTAAGGGAGGTCAGATGTAGCAATGTCCTCAAGCCCTTCATTGGGACTAAATAGTGAGGCCTTATTAATAATCTGAATACATTCCTGATATAATTTCAAGGCGTCGGCAAGGTCCTGGTGATAGGTGGGTGAGTTTGCCTCGTAGGTGCCTTCCAAAGCTATCCGCTTCAGCTCGGCAGCCTGGAAGACAGACTTTAGGGTCCTTGGCTCCTCGCTCATCATGACTAGGTCATCAACGGGGTATGAAAGACGGGGTGGGAGTTGGCGACAAATGCAAATTATCTACCCAGGGTACCTAGCAAAAAAAATAAGTATATAGCAGCGATAAATGGAATAGAAGTGAAGATCCTTTACCGTTTAATGGGTATATTCAATAACTCACAGCTTTATTAGACGCAAACAAAGTGTTGGTGAACTGGGGAAAGCAAGCAAGACGTCAGTGCTGTGAAAGCAGGGGTTCTATGTATTCTGTATGTAGGTAGGTAGTAAACCTGGTTATTGACTCGGCACATGCAGCTGCTTAAGCGCTAATTTTAGACTGAAAGTGGAGTCATTGGTTCATTAGGTTTAAATGCATGGATATTCTATTACCCGGTATATTCCGAAAAGGTATCTTAACTAGAATGAATAAATCCGACATCAACATCAACATCACCAGACTGAATCTACCTTCTCCTTGACTGTAGAAATAGGAAACAGACAAGCATCAATGAAGTGTCAAACCATCAGATACAGGTAGGCTATTTGTTAAAATAAGCAGATAAAAGCGAGAAGGAACTCATTGCCTATGAGTGTTGTGACTACCTAAGGAAGATTGTCTGCCAGTACAATTACGGTTGGTACCTGCCGAATGTCGAATTGTAGGCTTGGAAGGTACGATATCGTGTTTGATATGTGCGCAACTACCTAATTATTCCAACCACACAGCCAGTTGTATGTTACGGAAGGTACAAACAGCCACTTTGCATAAGCCAGTTGTGCATCGGAGGTTGTCAGTTGTCGGTTGCTGAAGTAGTCACCTTTATTTGATTCCTTAGAGCTGCACCTTCCTTGGCGCCACCGAAGAGGTAAAGAGGTAACCTAGATAATAGAGGAAAGTACGCCTTATGTTGAAGGCGCTTACTTGTGGTTCGTCGCAATCTTTTCCGTAGTTCTTCTCCTTTACCACACAAGCACAACTCCTTAACATCTCTGGTTACTACACACAAAGATTATTGTGCAGATTATATATTATTCTACAAATACCGATCCCTTAAGCCCTCTTACTCAACCCTCACAGCAACATGTCTTCGTCGGACTCTGGGGCTGATTCTGGCTCAGAAAATGATAACCCTTCCCCGTCAGTTATTCAGCCCAAAGCGACGGCTAAGGTGTTCGACAGTTTGCAGTTTTCCCAGTTCATGAGAGATCACCAGGAAAAGATCTACAGCTCTATATCAAGCTCAGTTATCAGGGACGAAGATAAATCCACCAATTTGCTTGTGAGAGAGGCAGAGAGCGAAAAGATTATTTCAAGCCCAAGGGAATATCAAACCGAATTATTTGAGAGGGCCAAGCAGAAAAACACAATCGCCGTTCTGGATACTGGTACGCCTTTTTTCCCTTCTCACATAGATACATACCGTATCGTTGGAATACTTGCTGAAAAGTGATCTAGGAACTGGAAAGACGCTTATTGCCGCTCTCCTCATTCGCCATACCGTCGAGCAGGAACTAGAAGACAGAAGCGCTGGCAAGCCGCCAAGGATATCCTTCTTTTTGGTATCTCAACCCCACAACGATTTTCTCCTACACTGTACTGACACGTACGCAGGTCGATAAAGTTGCCCTAGTTCTTCAGCAATATGAAGTTCTCAAGGCAAACCTGGACCATACTGTCCAGCGATTTTATGGTGACCAAGGGGGATCTATCCTAAACTACGATTTCTGGAGGCAGAAGATCGAGGAAAGTATGGTTATAGTTTGCACCGCCGAGATACTTCTCTCGTGCCTTCATCACTCCTTCGTCAAGATGGAGGATATTAACCTTTTAATATTTGATGAAGCCCACCATACCAAGAAGAACCACCCGTATGCCAGGATCATCAAAGACTTTTATGCACCATTAGAGCGAGAACAGCAGCGGCAGCCCCGAATCCTAGGTATGACTGCATCACCCGTCGATGCAAAAACAGATCCAACTACTGCTGCCGCGAAATTAGAGGGGCTTCTGCATAGCGAGATAGCGACTGTAGCGGATATCTCAGTCTTCACGAAGTCTTCAATCAACCGACCTGTCGAAGATTTCATCGAGTTTGGCGTGACCCCAGAGCCCTTTGAAACGCCGCTCTGGCAGAAATTATATAAGTTGGTCGGGCATAACGATGCTCTAGGAAAGCTCTTCGTCTATTCCAGAGCTTGCACTGCAGAGATGGGCCGCTGGTGCGCAGATCGGGTTTGGAAGATATGCTTGACTGAGCAGGAAGCTCATAAGCTGGAAGCGAAGACAGAGAGGAATTTCATGTCCCGCAAAATGCATCTCCCTATAGCCGCTCTCGACGCCGAGAGATTGGCTGTTCGAGATGCGTATAAGATAGTAGCTGAGCATTCGTTTCCCCAACCTCAGCGTAACCCCTTTTATCTATCCGACAAAGTCGAAGCCCTTATTGGAGCCCTCCGGAAGCATTTAGATCCACTTAAGGATAAGTGCATCGTATTCGTGGAACAACGCCTTACCGCATTATTGTTGGCAGATCTTGTGAAGCAGCCGAGCTTAAACATGCCTGAGGTCAAGGCCGGCGTACTAGTAAGTCTAACGGCTATTCACCACGACCGAATTAACTAACAATGCTGAAGTTAGGAGCGGGTAGCAACGCTGGCGACTTGGGCATGACATTGAAGGAGCAGTTTATGACCATGCACCGATTCAGAAACGGCGATCTAAATTGCATCTTTGCCACCAGCGTTGGCGAAGAAGGTATTGACATGCCTGACTGCAACATAATCATTCGATTTGATCTTTGCAAGACGATGATCCAGTACATTCAGTCGAGGGGAAGAGCTCGGCGCAAAGACTCTAAATTCTTCCATATGGTCGAATACACCAATTCTACTCAGCTACAGTCTATCTTTGAGCACGAAGACAGCGAAGCAAGACTTCGCCAATTTTACAATACGCTGTCTGAAGACCGGCTCATTACTGGAAACGATTATAAAATTGACTATTTCCTATCTCAAGAGAGGAGCCACCGTGTCTACGTTGTGCCTTCAACCCGAGCCAAGTTGACATATAAAAGCAGTCTAGTAATCCTAGCCAACTTCGTCTCAACGCTACCACGTCCTTTGGATACTGTCTATACTCCGGATTATATAATAAGAGCCATTGGCCGAGAATTCGAATGTGAGGTTCTCCTACCAGACACCTCCCCAATCAAAAGTGCGCTTGGGCGACGTGCAGATTCCAAGCAAGTTGCCAAGTGCTCCGCCGCTTTCGAGATGTGTCTGCAATTAAAGAAAAAGAAGTACCTTGACGATTACTTGCAATCTACTTTTACCAAGAAGCTCCCGACTATGCGTAATGCTCACTTGGCTATCAGCTCGAAGAAGCGATCTGAGTATCCTATGCGCATAAAGCCTGAAATATGGGATAAACGAGGCCATCCGGAGAGCTTATACGTGACGGTCTTGAAGCTGACCTCTCCAGAAGCATTGGCAAGATTTTCTAAACCGCTAGCTATTCTCACGAGGCACCCACTTCCACGAACAGCCAAATTTCCCCTATTTTTCGATCATCAGCGTTCCTCGGATGTAGAATGTATACCCCTTCTATGTGCCTTAAGGACAACGCCAGAGGAGGTCGATCAAGTCAATACGTTCACACTTAAAGTGTTCGACGATGTTTTCAGTAAAGAGTACCGTTCGGAACCGGAAAAAATGCCTTACTTCTTTGCGCCCCTTATCCACCCTCACGGCTTCAATTTTGCCAGCGCTTCCGACGACGTTCGTGTCCTAATTGACTGGGAGTGTCTTTCCACGCTTCAAAGCGCAGCAAGATCCCTTGAATGGGAAAATAAACCAGACGAGTTTTTCAAGGACAAGTTCGTCGTTGACCCCCACGATGGGTCACGTAAATTCTATACGGCCCGCCGCCGTCACGATCTCAAGCCAACTGATAATGAGCCGCCAGGGATCTTCAAGAATCATGCCGGTAAAAAAACCACCCGGGAAGCGCCAAACGATATTTGGAATTTTAGTATTAGCTTGTGGTCAAAGTCACGTTCTAAATTGACAGTTCGGCATGAACTGCCTGTCGTGGAGGCCGAGTATATTCCACTACGACGGAATCTCCTTGATGAACTCGACAAATCCTATGATGTGGCACGAAAGTGCTTTCTTGTCTTTGAAACTTTGAAATTCTCACCTGTAAGTGCCTCTGACTGTCTAAACTCATATTCTTAAAGCCTAACCAACTTAGTTGCCGGTCCATGTGGTTGCCATGGCCTACAATCTACCTGCAATAATATATCGACTCGAAACCAGTCTTATAGTGCTAGAAGCTTGCAAGTCTCTATCCCTGGACATACGTCCTGACCTCGCCCTAGAGGCAATGACCAAGGACAGTGACAACACGGAAGAGCATTCGGAAGAACAAATAAATCTTCAGCGAGGCATGGGAACTAATTACGAGCGTCTTGAATTTCTTGGTGATGCGTTCTTGAAGATGAGCACAACAATTGCTCTGTTCTCTCAGATCCCCGATAGCGATGAATTCCAGTACCACGTCGATCGCATGCTACTAGTTTGCAATAAGAACCTCTTCAATAACGCGCTAGACCTAGGGCTGCAAGAGTCAATTCGATCGAAGGGCTTCAACCGACGGACATGGTATCCGGATGGCCTCGACCTGTTGAGAGGCAAGCAGAATACTAGCATTAAGGGAAAGAAGGGTGTTAGCGAAATGCATACACTTGGAGACAAATCAATCGCTGATGTTTGTGAGGCGCTCATCGGAGCGGCCTATCTGACGACCTATGAACAGCACAGCTTTGACATGGCCATTCAGGCCGTTACTAAGTTCGTTAATCACCAAAACCATAAGATGATGACATATGGAGACTATTATGCGGCATATAATATCCCGGAGTGGCAAAGCGCCGACGCCACGGCAGTTCAACGTGAAGTAGCCAGGCAGATCGAGAAGAAGCTTGGCTATAAATTCACGTATCCCCGTTTACTACGCAGCGCATTCATGCATCCATCGTACGGTACCATTTACGAGCGTATCCCAAACTATCAGCGCCTAGAGTTTCTCGGGGATGCAGTACTCGACGTGGTCTGTGTCGACTTCCTTTTCCATCGGTATCCAAATGCGGATCCCCAATGGCTGACCGAGCACAAGATGGCGATGACATCGAATCAATTTCTGGGCTGCCTCTGCGTTTCTCTTGGTCTCCAAACGCATATGCTGTCTATGTCTAGCGGGCTGCAAAGAGAAATTACGGAATATGTAGTTGCTATAACAGAAGCTCAACGAGTAGCAGAAGAGGAAGCGGAATCGGCCAATCTTGGACGTGCTTCATACGCAAAGAATTTCTGGATTGAAGTTCAGAGACCGCCCAAGGCACTCTCCGATATCGTGGAGGCGTACATCGGTGCGCTCTTCGTCGATAGCAAGTATGACTATAGCCAAGTGCAACGATTCTTCGACAAGCACATGCGGCCTTACTTCGAGGATATGCACATCTACGATACGTTCGCTAACCGACACCCGGTCACATTTCTAGCGAATATGCTGCAGCTGCACTTCCACTGCGCCAACTGGCGCCTCATGATCCAAGAAATCGCCGTCGAGGGTGGCCCGTTAAGCCAGGCGCAGGTTCTCTGCGGCGTCATGATCCACGGTCAAGTCCGGGAGCATGCCGTCGCAGCTAGCGGCCGGTATGCCAAGATTGCGGCGGCTAAGAAGATTATGAATACACTACGGGAGATGGGCGTTGAACAGTATAAGGAGATGTATGGGTGCCGCTGCTCGCCTGAGGAGGCCGAGGCTTCGGACCCCCTCGCGGAAATCACGGCTATTTGAGAAGAAGTTCAGGGGGCGTAATCTTCGGGGGTGTTTTTTGAGGCTGGTTACTAGTTTGTATGCTTGCAGGATACATGTCTATTAAGCTTGAGTCGTAGCTTCTCTCTAAATTCGATAATTTAATATGAGTCGATATGGCTTTCATGCCCTCATTATGAGAGCGTTGTGAATTACCTTGAAATAAGCACCCTTGGGGTGGATCTTGTAGAATGTCTAACGACCACGCATCCCTTTTAATCTCTAAATTCGGCAAATACCAACTCCCAGATTCGTCTCTCGGCAAGTTTGTTCAGCCTCATGAAACTTTCATCCTTGGAGCATAGCTGTGTTCTATGTACTGTTTCGATGTAGGAATATTCAAGTCAAGCGTTTATATCTCCATAGTTTTACCACCCTAATCAATGAGCTAGGTAACCCCCTCTTGTAAGATTGGATGCAATATGGCAGCTCGTCACATTTTGCAGGGGTGAGAAGGCATCAGTTATTTCGTTTGCTATTATCATCAATGTAATAGATACATCTCAGTTTACCCATCCACAGCGCGCAAACTTCCACGTAAGCTTGCACAAGTAAACCAAGAAGGAATAATGTATTGCCTTTAGCCAAACGGGAGTTCCCTATGACTACCTAACCTCTCCTAACCTATCCTGACGTAGGTATTGCAATCGAATCCTATCCTAACTATGGTAACCATGTAAACATAACTCCCTATGGGGGCCGACTATTAGTAGGACCTATCCTACCTAGGGCGCCGGGGGTATAAAATAGGCGCGAGCCTCGCCGGGCATCAGCGCCAACTCATTGCCGTGCGCCAAACTGTTCTAAATCATGATAACTATCATTACAATCATATGCATAATGAGGGAGAAAGTATGCAGCCACCTCGAGACCTCCGTAGTGATGATGGATAAAAAAGGGGGTATTGTAAGTATGTTCTCGCCGCATACTTTCTAGTTAAACCTTTAGTTTAGGTGCTCGTAGTTTCATAACTTAGTATCCGCGTAACCAGACTGATCGTCAAACTCGATCCTAGGAATGCAGAAATCGGGTGCTTTCCCTTTTCCCTTAGTCTTCCGCAGCGAGGCGCTGCTTGCACGCTGTTTTGACATAGCCTCCCTTCGAAGCCGCGCAACCACGGTCATATCGGGTAAATCTAAGTCATCATCCTCGAATAGTTGAGCGGTAGTTTCGTACTGCCGCATATTACCACAGGAATGGTATCGGTGCTCACTCGGGCGCTTGAAAGGGATGTCAAAATTCAATTCTTCCTCAGAGTCGTTTTCAGGCTCTAAACCATCATCGCCTTCAGAATCGGTATAGTCAAACTTCGGTACCTGCAAGCGAGATGACCTAGATCGAGACTTATGCTTCAGGGACGAAGTCGAGTATTGGGAACGGAAAGTAGAGGAAAGTGCATCCTCAAAATTGGTAGAGCTGAAGGTAGCTAGGTGAAGTGGGTCTTTGGGCGTATAAGATGCTCGTCGTGGCTGTGATCGTTCCGGCTTATTGGGCTTCGCCGTTGCGTCAAACGAGGCCGGAAGTCCTGGTAGCTGAGAGCCTCCCATCCCGTAGCCTTGGAAGAGAAGGTCCTTCTCAAATTCGCCTGCAGAACGCTTAGGAGCATCAAAAGAATCAACTGACGAGGCATCCTCATCGATAACAAAATTCATCGGAGGCTCCCGTCGACTAGAATTGAGAAGAGATCCTGCCAACAATTCAGGGTCGACACCTACGCAGTTTTTACCAGATGATGAAGATGCTTCATCTGACTCAATAGCCTTAGGTAGCGGTACGCGGGGGGCAAGATCGACCGAAGTGTTAGTGGTATGGACAGATTGAGGCCTAAACGGATTCGAGCTCAATGTTGAGCCACCCGTCTCGGAAGTCAGTGACCAACGGCGAAGACTGCTGCCTCGTTCCGGAATTGCGTCTTCGGTTTCAGACCGTTTGAGGCTCTTCACCGACCCGGAAACGATACTTCCATTTCCATAGCGACGGTTTAACTCGTCTTGGCCACTAGAGCGATTAAAGATTGTCTTCGAGTCTATGGACAACTTGTTAGCAAACAGGTTACATAGCTCAAAAATTTAAAGCTGGGTCACTAACACATCGGCTCTGGAGGCTGCAACGATGTCAATTCGTACGGTGAGCCGTCGAAGTCCGGTATAGGTCCGCGGCGGCGCTTCGGGGAACCGCGATTCTTTTTTATATATAGACCCTCCTCTGCACTTGGTAAGTTACTCTCGGTAACTAGTTCGCCACGATAGGGCAAATGGAGGGTCCTTAGGCTCCCTGTCTTCAATGGTGGCTTAGTGCTGGTTGAAGATACATGTGACATGGTTCTACGCTGAGGAGAGTTGTTGAGAGACCGATATTGATCCACTTGAGCAGGTCGGGTCCAGTTAAAATCGCTGCGCGCATGATAGGAAAGATCGCTGTCAGAATCTTGCCTGTGAATAGACATTTCCTGAGATAGGCTTGATTGTGGTGGATTGCCTCCCAGGCCTGAGTCCACAGATCGATTATATTCAAAGCCTTCCCAAATCGCCGTGCGAGCTATCTCTCGTAGGGACTCAGGAAAGTAGTCAGAGTCTTGCCCCTTGACTCTTCTTCCCGTAGAGGCACTCCCCGGTCGCTCCGACGAAGAAGGCATATACGAATGCAAGGATCTTGGACGAAGAGCCTTTTCGGTTGGTGCTGTTTCGTTCGTTGGGTCATCTTGATATGCGCGCAAAGCCAACATCGCAGGTGATGCAGTCCGAAAGTTAGAATTGTTTGCCTTGGTCTGTAACCCATATCCCATAGATTGCCGTTTCCTCGACGAACGCGGTCGGTCAAGCTCCTCGTCGTCGCTCCGAATGCTTGGGGTTAGATACTTTCTATAGAACTCCTTGGCTTGTGGTGAGTTGGGGCTAGATCCATTCTCGCTAATATTGCGATCCGCAACGTCTTCATCGTAATCTTTCGTGCCGGTAGCCTTCACGCGACCATAAAAATCTAATGGCTTGATAAACGATTGAGCATCTAGTAAGTCGACGAATCCACGTGTTGATCCCGAGTCCCCGCTAAAAATCGAAGAATTACGGCCGCGGGTGAAAGTTGGGGATGGTACGCTGTGAATGGATTCATTTCTCTCGGTTGATATCTTAGATGGAAGTTTGTAGGGTCCGTGTCGCTTTTTAGGCGGCTCTCGTAACGGCTTTACCGGAGCTCCTACTTGGGATTTTGGCCTGGACAAACCTTCGGGTGACCGAGTAGGGGCCGTACTGGGACGGTCGAGTAGTCGAGGAACTATAGGAGGCGGTGCGGAATTATCATTGAAATGTCCATCTATCAGAAGTGGATGCGATTTCTGGAATTTCTCCAAAATGCTGGGTCCATTACCAACAACCGGATAGGTGCCTTAAGTGAGATAGGTCAGCTCGGAGATTTACCAGATTCCTGGGATTGGAGACTCGGCTCATACCGCGGATTGGAGGATTGGCGGCCACAGTCTCATCGTAAGCTTGCGCCTTGAGATCATTGTTCAAGTTACTGGTAGATTTTCTAGATAGAAAACTCCACCACCCCATCGTGAAGGTCGAGTCGGGTATTCGTATGAAAGGGAACTAAGCCCATAAAAATGGACCTCGTAAATATTTGTCCCTTACTTCTCTTATCTCCGTAATTATCTTCCAAGGACGCGGGCCTCCATTAGGATCAAGCAGAAGAGAGCTGTTATTCCCGCCATATAACAATAACATGAACTAAAGTAGTAAAAGAAAGACGGGGGATAAAGGAAAAGAGTGACAAATGTTCGAAGGGGAGGAAATGTATGCGGAAAAGAATTGTAAGAGAATGAGAGAATAGTACTGTAGAATTAATGCGGTAGATGAGAGAAAGTTGGGAAGAGTTGGGAAGGAGAGGATACTCCAGACGCATTAAACAGGGTGATGCAAGGATACCCAGATAACTTTAAAGGCTGAATGGAGAACGACACTTTAGTTCATTGCACATACACTATTTCATAGATGAGTGTACCTAAAGTGTGTATGCACTGAGGTGGGTATGTAGTAAGTAAACCTCGTTTATTAAGCTAGGTAAGGTAAGATAAGGTAAGGTAAGGTAGTAACTATTTAAAATGTTTAGGGGGGGAACATGGAGAATCTGCAGCTAAATAATTTACCTACACGTCGTACCTTGCGTTTGTACTGCTTCCTTCTTTTTTTTTTTCACGATGGTCCGTGGTGGCCCACTTTACTCCTTGAAGAAACCTCCACACGCCCCCTTTCGATCACTCATTCGAGACCCCATTGGTTCCTGGGACGCGGTTGGTTGCGAAACGACTGATTACCTACATACCTTGTATAGACACAACCACATAACCCCGATGCCATAGACCGGTGCAATTAGCCGCACATCACACGGATATCACGGGTATGCTTTATATGTTGTTTGCAAATATAGAGTGTATATTAATTATATGTGCTCTACACATAAGTACTTGTTAGTTCATTAGGTACGCTATAGCCAAAAGGAGGTAGTACCTAATTTAGGAAGTACTTCCTTGTATTACAGGACCCGATTCGATGCCGTTCCAACAATAATTTAGTCAAAGCATCAGTGGGGTGCTTACACTACGTACAGGGCATCTCCCTGATCCATGATGCTTCAAAAAGTCCACCTCTACTGACTACCTATATAAAGAATACTCTACTTAACTATATAAAATGAGAGTTAAGTAATAGTCGTATATATGGATGAACTGATACTACAATAGAACACATGACGCTGCGAATTCATGTTGCATTAGGATCATTAGCATTTTAAGTATATCCTATTTTGCTAATACTCCGGGACAAGGGTATTCTACATATTCTTACGATAGATGCATATCAAACCAATTACATCTTAAGACCTTGGCTCACGTTTGAACTCTCATGGTTCCTTTAAATCATATTATCCTCTTTTTATTATGTCACGGATAGCTGAAATTATCTAATCCTCGAGAGGGAATTACTACTTGCATGTAAGTGCTGAAAATATCGAATGAATTTGTGTCTTACAAGTCGACAAGGTGTAATGAGTACGAAGTACCTAGGTACCTAAGATATGAATGACATCAAATTTCGAGATCCAACATGCTGGGACGTAAAATCGGAGAAAGGGGACCTACCTCTATCAGGCTAGCTACCCGAAATCTTGGGCGCTTTCTTAGTCGCCAATACTATCCAACTTTAGCGTTTGCTAGTGTACCTAAACTATCAAAATGGGCCAAGGACTTGTAGGTTTTAACTTGCATACTTCCTAATGATGATAATGGATAGAACCCTAATCATAGCACAACATCAAGAACCATCCTATCACCAGATTGTTCTAACCTAGTCTGTACCTAGATATGTAGGTTCGGTGAGCCCGAGCAGTACTACGGTCCCTAGTACAGAACAATGGATTATGTTCTTTACTTACTAGTCGCCGTTAACGAGAATAGCTGAAGACTAAATCCACTTAGTTAATGGTAACTACTAAAGTGCTACCTAGTAAATCTAAGCGAATATTCATAGGCCAATAGGGGGGCCTAGGCAAGCCCCAAATCGAGATGTCTAGGTTTAGATAGGTACTAAAAGATGTCTTAAGATGGCCATGTCCTCGACCGCTGTCGACTTGGAATGTCTCAATTTCAAACGGATGACTTCGAGTAATCGCCGAAACACCACTTGGTTAAAGGATGAGACACGTCAGATTACCATCGGATCAAACGAGTGAGTTTGCAGAGTTGCCCGTTTGCCATAACCCCGAGCTAGGGATATCTACTAGGTACAACAGTACTACAACTATAGCTTCCACGTGGGCTGCGGCCTTCGGCACGTTGTAGCCTTCTAGCGCGTAGTCACATTAGACTCATCTTGGCCTCGGGGAAGCACGTATACAATCCGAATCTAAACCTTCACGATCAATACTTAGAGATTCTCATACCTTCTATCTTGCCCTAGCGCATTGTGTCGATGAGTCGATGGATAATTACCTCTTTGAATATCATTTCTTTTTCATTGTCATTTCTTTTCTGTTCTTTAATTGTAACCAAACAACTTTTATATTTATGTTTTATATGTTTATCTTTGGTTAGCTATAAAACCCGCTCCCCCTTTTTTTATAACTTTTACTATTTCTTTTTAGCCCTTTTTTTTATATTTTATTTTATAATTCTTTGTTTATCTCTTTGTTTATGAGACCTTTCAATCACATTAGTGCTATTTCTTTGTCGACAGCACCGTATATAGGACGAATTTTATTGCATTTTCATCCTACCTATCTATGTATGATGGACAATATCTATCTAATGTAGGGAAACTACAAAGTTAGGTATCCTCATATCTTATTTGGAAGAACAGGAGGAACTTTCGCCACATCCTGACCTTATCATCCCTAAAAGTAAATTACTCACAGCTTAGCCCTTTGGCGTGTGCCCTTACGCTTATTCTTCTTCAAGATGCGGAATAACAGCTCCAGTTCAGGATCTTCTCCCTCGTACTCTTGAACATGTTCCCGTAGATAGGCAATCCAGTCTGGATCCTTCTCGGCTATATTCCATCTGTCGACTCGCTTGAGAATGATGAGGGCTATGGAATTATCGTCGAGCCGCAAGATCTCCGCGGCTTCAGCATACCAAACTTGTAGATGAGACATCAGTATTTCGTCTCGATGGGCCGCACACTCGCATGTCTCAGGCACATGTTCAAAGTCTTCATACACAGGTAGTCCAATCCCGTCAAACTTTACTATACAACCCCATGGGAGAGGCTCGTCTGGTCTAATACGTATGTACAACATTTTGCCGCTTTTCCAGGTCTTAAAGTGTAAGTGGTCAGTTATCTAAGTACTACTCCGAAGCTGTTGTAGACTTTGTGAATTCGTCGTCGGGCGATCGGTTATGTTGGTAAGCACGCTAATATTGCGATGGTTTGATGATGTAGCGGTAATTTTCGTGGAGGCATAGGGTACCTACTTATATAGAGATATCTCTGGAGGACTAAGCACAGTTGTCACGAAACATGTAAGTTATTAACTCTAGCAACAAAGGGATTATTTAGTAATATATATATTTTTACATGACACTTTCTTTCTGCTAGACGATTTTTGAATCACATTATTCTCCTTCTTAACGTAACAAGGCCTTAGTGACCATCTCTTTTAGGCATATCACAAATTCCTCCGTAAGACCTTTGGATTTCAGGGCAAATACAAATCCTTTCCACCTATGGTAATGATTGCCAGTTCTAGAATATCGAATTGAAGACTATAAAAAACTTACATACCTAGGTAGTAGGTATGTATCGTCGTAGTCGAAAGGGGCATAAGAAGACTATCCGGAATGGAGTCAAAAAAGTTGGACGAGCAGGGAGTCGAACCCTGGGCTTCTCGCAGACTTGCGCATGCAAAGCGAGCACTCTACCACTGAGTTACACGCCCTTGATGTGACTAGTTATTAAGGCTAGTGGCTAGTTGACAGTTGCTGCGTTAATTTACCCTATATACCAACTGTCAAAGGAGGGGTAATGACGTCACCCCTTGAACAATAAGTTTTGAACGGACGCAAACAAAGAGGCGCTTCAAAGGCAACGTTGTAATTTTTTGTATTTTACTTTCTTTGTTTGGCCTTTGTTAATCAACAAACGTATTATCACTACATATTCTTGGCGCCTTCAAAGCAAGTGCCTGTACTGATTTCTATTACCTACATAGGTACCTAAGGTAGATAACAGACTTGGCAATAGCAGCTATTGAATAGCTGAGGCAGTGGGTCGAGTGGTGAGACTTGGGGATTTAGGTCGACCTATCAGACCAGTACTAATTTGTCACTGCTGTGCTCCTACTGGCCGTCTTATACGGAGGGAGCAACGGGCCATGGCAGAGCGCCGTTACAACTTAGGTACGTTACTAAAGAAATACCGGAAGCTAACGGGGTCCCTTTCGCTCCTATGTCCGCATCGGACGACATCCTACCGGACATAATTCACATCTCAGCCTCTTAGGGATTTGCTATAGTGTTGCACAGAAACACCTCGCTACGTTACCTTAGATATTCATGTGGGGTGTATATATCTTCTGGCTTATCGATTCAAGTATTAGGTAGGGAGGTAGACAACCCAAATCAAACTCAGCCATCTTCGGGCCCCGGGGCACTATTCATATCTTCATAAATCGGCATGGCTCCGCATAATGTTCAAGACGAAGCGCCGTCGGAATTCAACGATGGACCTTTAGGGACCGAAATACGGCCACCCACGCCGCCCCCTATGTCCGCAAGCCCACCCCGAGTTGTGGTTATCGGCGCGGGGTCGCGGGGTCATACCTATAGCCGCTGTATCGGCGAGTCTAGCAACGGCGTCGTAGTCGCCATCTGCGAGCCAGATAAGTATAAGCGCGACGAGTTCGTGCAGAACTACATCAAGCGCGACGGCAAGACACTCCCCGAGGGCTCTAGCTTTAATGATTGGCGCGATTTCGTCGAGTGGGAGGTGCGCCGTCGTGAGCGCGAGGCTGCTGGGGATAAGCATGTACCCGAAGGTGTCGATGCTGCCTTCGTGTGTGTCCGCGATGAGATGCATCACGATGTTGTTATTGCTCTCGCCCCGTTGGACCTGCACATAATGTGCGAGAAACCGCTTGCCGGAAATCTAGCTGAGTGCATCGCCATGTATCAAGCCCTAGCCCCTTTGCAGCCCCGCAAAGTCTTCTCCGTCGGTCACGTACTACGATACTCGCCGCACAACATACAACTCCGCAAGCTACTGCTCGAGGACCGCGCCGTCGGCGACGTCTTAAGTATCGTACATACCGAGCCCGTCGGATACTGGCATTTCGCACATTCGTACGTCCGCGGCAACTGGCGCAAAGAGTCTACTACCGCGCCGTCTCTACTAGCCAAGAGTTGCCATGATATGGACATCCTGCTCTGGTTGATGTGCTCGCCTACACGTCCCGGATCTGACGAGCCCCCGCATATCCCTTCCGAAGTCGCATCTATGGGCTCGTTGCAATTCTTCCGAAAAAGCCGGAAGCCCAAAGCCGCGGGCGCCGCGACGAACTGTCTCAGCTGTGCCGTTGAATCCGAGTGCATATACTCAAGCAAGCGGATATACGAAAGCCCGCGGCACCGCGGTCTGGAGACAGGTAACAGGTCCTGGCCCATCAGCATCCTTCTCCCAGACATCGAGAGCTTCGGCGGCGACATCGAGCGCGCACGACCAGCCTTACTCAACCGTCTAGCCGAAAACTACGACGAGTCGACGCCGCAAGAAGAAATCGATGCGAAGAACTGGTTCGGGAGGTGCGTGTTCGAGTCCGACAACGACGTGTGCGACGAGCAAGTCGTCAACATAAAATGGGACGACGACCCCCTCCCCTCCACCACCACCTCCGGAGACTCCGTCGGAAACCGAGGCGCCAAGCAAGCGACCTTCCACATGATCGCGCAGACGAAGAAGCAATGTGAGCGCTTTACCAACATATACGGGACGACAGGCGAGATCTACGCGGACTCGTACAAGATCACCGTCGAGGACTACAAGACCGGCACGACGCAGACGTACACGCCCAAGCTCGAGAGCGGGGGCCACGGCGGTGGTGATCACGGCATCACGCGCCAGTTCATCCTGGCCGTCGACCGCGTCAAGAACCACGGCTGGGAAGCCCCGCGTGCCCAGAGCGAGTTCATCGGCTGTAGCTTGGAAGAGATCATCCGCAGCCATGCCATAGTGTTTGCCGCCGAGGATTCACGGAGGGGGCGCAAGTACGTCGATTTTAAGGATTGGTGCGCCGAGAAGGACATCGCTGCTATAGCGGCGTCTTAGACTGATGATTTTACTACCTACATTCTGATTAGTCCTATAAGCATTTCAAAGAGGTCCCTAGCTACCTAATTTAGCTATGCGTGGAGCTCTGGTCGTTCTGGCGTTTTTGCTGTGTATCATGTTGGCATCCGACGAGCCAAGAAGCTGTTATGATGGTACAAATCTTTGTCTCTTAAATAGTGAAAATTATGTATCTTCATGAATACGACAGCAAGCTTGATTTGTTACCTATTTTATATATCCGGCGCATTGGCCTGCTAGAATACAATACATGTTTGTCCTGGTATACTCGTACAAACCGAGGCATCGTGCCTCAGAGCAATTTGTAAAAAAACAAGCCTCCAATCCATATCAAGAGAAATACCCCTATTAAAATCTTACAGCTCGAAGCGCTCCAAGTATTCATTGCGAAGTCGGAGTATTGGGCATCTCTATTCCACGACTTCGCTGCAGAGATTCTAGGTAATCCTGCAAAGCCTTCTCTCGTCGGCGTCGTACTACTAGTTCCTGTGCCGTATCCCCGGCCTCGCGATGCCAAGTTTCTAGCAACTGCATGTTTTCAAATACCTGCGAATCGCCAAAGCCACGTCCACGTCCAGCCTGAGCGGTGTCGATAGCTCTTTCTAAAGCGTATCGGGCCAGCGCGTGTCGTGGATGATCTTTTACCGCAGAGTTATCCACGCCGCATCGGCTCCTATGGAATTGAGCAATGACGCGCCACGCTACCCAGCTCGTCCAGTCGTACCGATTTGATACGTCGATTCGAAGTGCAACGCGGGCCAATTTAACCGAACGCTCGTCGAGGGGTCCCTTTTGCCAAAGGTACGCCGCTGGTTCGATGAGCATCATTAAGTCTGGCGAATGGGACCTGCCATGGGACTCGAATATTGCCGATGCTGATGCTACTGCTTTCCGAAGGGATGGCAAGTTAGTTCTTGTCGAGTTGAAAAGAAGCAAGTCCCCTAGCAGAAAAAAGCTGATAGAGGGTGCGATAGTCTGCGAGAAATCATCTGTCTCGAGTAGCATGTCTAGTATGCTCTCCATACAGCTGAAGATGAAATCCACACCCGTTTCCAACGTATTATTACGGAACACATCATGTATTGCAGTAAATAATCGGCAGAAGGTACTCGATGGTCCCAACACAGCCTCTGCGTATCCAGCTAAGTACCTCCATAGTTCCTTCGCCAGCCCATAATCAGGAGATATCACACTAGCTATTAGCAAGTCAAACAGACCAAGGGCAGAGGGTGCCTTAATGAGTAAATGCAACGAGTTAAAGGCGCGCTGACCAAGCAGAGCACCTAGAGGATTATGATTCCTCGAGAAGAACCAGCAAGCCCTGCTGAAGTCTCTAGTAGCCTCGCATAATTCGCCATCGAAATAAGCGTTGAAATCTTTCTCGAAGGCCGCAGGCGATTCTAACGAGTCTCGCCAACCCAGGGTAAGGTCCTTGAAACACGAGACGAGGACTTCCTGGGCGTGAAGGTGAGACGGTAAAACCATGTGCTGGGGTTCGGCCGGTGGAGGCGTAAGCGCTCGTAGATATTCGGGCAGGTCGACGCCGGCGACGGGTGGTGTTACAAGTTCGAAGCTTGAAATGCCTTTTCGCCTCATGTAAGTTTCAATATCAACCGACCTTCCGTGGCGACGGAAAGCAGTAGGTTTGCCCACAGCGCCGCGCTCGCGTTGTAATCGCAACATCATCGCCACATCCTTCTTCTTGTTATTCTTAACGAACCCCCATTGTGCAAACTTGGCCTATAAATTGTCAGCTTTGCTTTCCACAGTATGATACAGTATGCCTTTTTTCTTTTCTTTTTTTAGTACCTTATACATACGAGGACTATGAATAAATAATAAATTAGCATACGACTCTAACACGCGAGCAATTTGCCGATATATAAGGTACTAACGTTGCTTTAAAGCCTTTCGCTTGCATTATATCCATTAGTTCATTTAATGACTTATTTTCTTCGATATAGAGTTCATGTATCTCCTCCTTATATAGTTCCCATATCTCTGGTTGGAGATGGTGGCGCGTTGGGGTTTTGTTGTACCGTACCGGTCCTCCCGGGCGAACGGCAACGGCCAAAGGTCCTGGTGAACAGCTTCCATCGTCAGTTGCGCATTTTCCCTCGTGCTTTGCCGTGGCTAGGGTTCTATATGGTAATGATGAAATTGAATTGCGGCGGCTAGCAGTTGTATCCGGCCGATCCACCCCGGTACTATACGGCAGCGGCTCCGAAGGGGTTAGAGAAGAGCCGATCGTTCCGTCGTACTGAGCTAAAGTAGCACTAGAACCCGGGCTCTCAATCTTCACGCTATAACTTGGAGAGGGACTATCCGTAGTGATGCCATCATGATCGGCGCCCTCTAGAGTTTGGCGCGGTTCATCTGGCTTCACCGCGGGCTTCGAATCCGGCCCCGCTGATTGGCAATGAAAAGCTGGCCTCATGTGATACATCAACGCGTGAGGTACTTGGGACAATCAGCAGCACTTGGTAAAGAAGCTACATGTCCCACTCCGCGTCTTCCGGGTTTGACCTGGCCCAAGAGACTTGAAGAGTTAGGTAGATAGGCGATTATGTTAGAGGAAGCACAAGGCGAGGAATAGCAGACCAATAAATGAGGAAATCGACGGTGGCTCCGTTGGAGGGGTTTAAGACGCAACACAGATGGCCGAGCGAGCGTAAATGCTTGGCAAAAGCACGTTAACGGATCTCGTTCTAACGTCGTCGTAAAATCCCCTACCAGTCTATCATCATTACTTTAAGTATGGATAGAAATGGTGACGGTGATGAAGATAAGGACTGGCTATTCGTCGGAAGCTATTCGTCGGAATGTGGTTGTATCGCGTGGCTGAGCGATTATCTTAGGTACAGCTGGGCACTACAAGGGACCTCGATAGTGCAGCAAGACAACAGCCTGAAGGCCTAAAGGGGACGTGAAGGAGCCCGGACTAAACTAGCCCTGTCCTGTCGGTTCTTGTGCTACACGTGTATATTCTTTAAAACACGTGTGAACCTGGTGAGTTACAGTACCTAGATACGGTAATCAAGACTGGGTGGTTTGGGGGCCAAGATGCGATGCAATACATAGTAGATATGTGGTGCTCACCCACGTGCCTCGCAACCCGACAGACATGGCGATACCAGAATAGTCCAGCTGAAACGTCCAAGTAGACCAATGTGACGCAATACTTCAAGGCTGAATAGTCCTCTAAATCCTATATAGGCACGACATATGAGGAACCTTCAGCCGCAACTAAGGTCCAAAGTCAAGTGTCGATCGATCTCTGGTCGGTTCTTTCATATTATGTACTTGTATGGCGACACACGATGGAGAAAAAGGATCCACGTTCCTAAAAGGCAGGCAAATCCCACCTGGAGACCTGGCTACTAGGATGTCCGGATATGTACGTAGTAAGAACAGGGCGCATATTTTAATCACGGTTGGAGTTCCGAGAAGGAGAGCTTCGCGTCAACGGCGTTATTAGATACGTTAGATGCGTTAGCTGTTACTAATATATTAAGTACGCTATGTAATAATGATGTATCTGCCACATGCGCCTTGCATAAGGGGGTTACATTACTTGCTTAACAGCTTAACTAAGGCGTCTAACTAATGCAACTTAAGTCCCTTACTATATAGGACGACGGAGGAGGGATAAGTGCTGGCGGAGTTACCCCTGACCATTGCTTTCTCTACCTGTCCGTTAGGAGGTTACCTTAGGTATTTCAGAGGGCATGTAAGCTGATGATAGCTACCTAGCTGATAAGGCTGACTTAGGTACCTAGGTTGCATCCAAGTGCCCCCATATTCAGCTGCCCATATCTGTACCTAAGATATGTATACCTTGGTAAACATGACGAATTCTACTCATTAACATCATCATAACTAGGAAATATTTACTCAAGTACTATAACGGCTCATTGGACATTGGAATCAACCTCGCAGAAAGATCAGGGTCCTCAAACTGGCGGTCGAATGGCCACATGGGACGACCAATCCGCTTATGCCCTAATCGTTTTAGATCTTGGTCAACACCACCAGGTGTAAGACCGAGCATCCAATCGTCAGCCATATCGTATAATTCCGGCTCCAAGTATCCTATCTTGACGATGACGATATCTGCGGACCGGGGTGCGAGGTTTAATTCCGTAAAATCACTTTCGTGGTGGTACGGTTTACGCAGTTTGGTCAGGATCGCGAAGACGCTGCCAACCTGCAGCACGATCTCGATCTCTGCGTGGATATCGCCCTGCTTTATCGAATGCACCCGTCCTGTCATAGTGATAGGGCCAGCATGGATGTCATCTATTTCTGCCCCAGCCGTCACCGTCACAGTCGCCCCAATGCCTGCTTCGACTGCCTTTTGGACTGCTTCGGGGCCCGGTACGCTGGCATATACAACTTTGGGACCTGATTCTGACTTAAATTCTGGACGCGCGAGGAGTTGCGTTAGGCCCCAGGTCACATCTCCGGAACCCCCCGCCGTAGGGTTGTCGCCCGAGTCGGAGATAAAATACGGGCGTTTATCCGATGCTAATGCCGTGTCCAGACATTCTTTAAATGACCCCGTAGGGGCAACGAAGGTAAAGTCCTTGTGCGAATCCCAAAATAACCGTGCTAGTCGCTCGGCACCCCTAGTAGTCGCCTCTCTGTCCCAACCAGTTACCACAACCGCAGCACGGTTTCTGGGCTCGTCAGCCCAAGCGTAGCCGACCCATATGGCTGCATCTAATACCCCTTCCGCAGCCTCAACTTCAGGAACAGCAGCGTAGATATGTGCAGCTGGCTCATCCCTCGTGGAAGTCTGTTCGCCGGGGAGTAGAATCGGGATCGGCACCCAAGCTTTGAACGGGCGTATAGTATCTTCTCCGTTCTCTCGTCGCCGAAGCAGCTTAAGCAAGTTCCTGCAAGCCCTCTCTTTTGTTTCCGCAATGTCTACATGAGGTGCCGTGCGGTAGCAGGTAATTAGATCCGTCTGATGCGCCAGCTCCCGCGAGACGTTGCCGTGCAGGTCCATTGACGCCGACACCAAGACGTCAGAACCGATAACCTGGCGGCAACGCCTCAGTAATTCGTATTCTGCATCGTCGAGACCCTCAACACACATCGCACCATGAATATCGAACCAAAGCCCGTCGACTTTCACTGCAGTCACCATCTCCGTAAGACGGCTGAGTATCTCCGAACAGAGCGACTCAAAGGCATCCCTGGTCACAATACCACCCGGCAAGGCATGGCCAATAAGTGCACCGCGCCACTCAGCAGCATCGCCTAGAGGTGTACCGGCTTGAATGAAGGGGTATTTGTCTATGATCTCTGTGCCACGCCGGGGGTGAAATGCCGGCGCGAGGGTCCTCGACGGTGTGAAAGTTGATGTTTCGCAGGCTAAACCAGCGATAGCGACGACTGGCCGTCGAGCCATGATTACACTCTATATAGTAATATTACACCTGCCCAAGTCCCAGAGAAAGACCATGGTCCATACCACAAGACTGTTGGTCTCTTGACGAGATATCACCCCGCATCCCCGCATAGAGAAGCTCTTCTATCACAGTATGTCATGAGGTACCTTACATGTATCTAATCTATAATTTAATAAAGACCAATAAGATTCCGTTTAAGATTAATGAGAACTCTATACTATCAAGTATCTAAGGTATACACGCATAGTTAATATATATATATAAACTCAAAGGCTCATATGGTGTTATAGAAACGTCATATTCTAGCAATTCAGCAAGCAGCTCAGCCCAAGGGTTGTCGAAGAGCTTATCCGTCGGAGACATTTTTTACGCTGGAACTCTTGGAAATTATTATGCGAAATTGATAAGGAAATGATAAGTAATTGATAAGTAATTCATCAATAAATGATAAGAAAATTGATAAGAGATTTGATGTTTCCGACGGATTCTCACGTGCGAGCCTGCGAGCACGTGAAAACGCTTGCGCGAGCTTGCGAGTGCATGCGTTTTCCTAAATTTTAGATTATAAGAGCTTAACCTAGAGATCAACATTATTTACAGACAGCATACGCGAACATGTTTTGGAAGATATTTCCAGGGATTCTCCGGAATCTTATTAAGTTGTAACAGCGCCATATTAATCATCATTGAGCACCTCGAAGAAGTCTGGCATTCGATGTGCCCCGCTGGGATTATCTGCTCCTGCGCCACCCCAAGATCTGTGTCAAAGCGCTTGAGGGTTTCGTGACCCCAGATCTCATCACGTACGATAATCGATATAGATATCGTTTATGATGTAAATCATCTGCGTGATACCAATAGTTCATGTATCAATAGCTTCGGACTCGGGATCATCTTCGCTCATGCCTTTCGCGGTTTCTATATAGGGGCTCTAATGTAACATCGCTAGCCTATATTAAGATAATTTCATATGCCAAGCTTCAAAGTGAAGCGTTCACTGATAATGTGTTAGAACCAGGTCACTTAACGCGTCCAATTCTTCTTTACTACATACAATACCCAAAATATGTATACCTACCTACCTCCTATGTTAGGTATGCACACGTACATTACATAGAAGACTATCACGACTTATTATTTGTTTCTCGTCTACGGCTATCCTTCCCGCATGTAGAACTCAACGGTACTTCGTTTCGTATAGCCTTATGGGGCGCACATTAACGCTATCGCTAGCGAAAACTAATTGCGTAGTCTTGGCATTTTCCTCTGAAAACAACATTGTATATTGTATTCAAAACAAGTACTTAAAAGAGTCGTATAAAATAGACAAATATATCAACAGGTTTCTTAACCTTTCTATTTTCTAGCATTAATTTTTGTCATTTTATTGCATACAAATTGGTGGAGTTCTTTAAGTCGTAAAGTATAGTGTATATTCAGCATAACATATCATGTTTAAAGCTACTTTACTCACGCAATACAATACCAGTTAAAAAAAAAAAGAAAATCATAATAAGGTACAGTTCCATTTAACGAATAGAATGATATATATCATTATTATATTTGACTTTGTTTTGCTAGTATAATTGTTGATTATTTAAGAGAGGTTCATATGCCAAGACTGCGCAATTAATTTTCGATCCTTACAAGTAACGCAGCTCTCTGGCACAGCCAAGGGTATAGAAAACTTGACTACCAACATCAATACGATAGTATTTATTCCCCAGTGGTAAAACAACCCATCTAATAGGGTAGTGGGTACATTAATTAGCTGTACTAGTCTCACATAAATAATACTCTGAGACGAGATGTACAGCATTGTCTCCTGATATCTAGTACTTATCCTTCCAACCCATCAATGTCCCGCGTAGCCCGTGCTGCGCGTAGGGGGCTAGAGAGGAATTAGGCACAGAGTCGACCTTGGGACATTCACTATTATCTGTCATTCCCGCTCACACCCACATAATAAGGGATGCCATTGTCAATGTCATATCAAGTGCGAAAACGATGACTATCACTACACCGACCTACACCGCCGGATTCACGGCCGTGACTTCGCTCGGTCCATTAACCACAACATTCGTGCCGCCCGAGTCGTGCTTTCCACCTATCCCATCTACGGATACGGAAGATGGAACAAGTTTTTATAAGGTAGGCACCGTAAGCGCAGATGATGGTTGTCTACCTCCGGACTGGGTGGTCAACGGTTATTACTCGCCGGGAGTATGCCCATATGGTTATTCGGCGGTTTGCGAGGCGGCAGGGGACAATGTCGAGACGACAGTCTGTTGTCCATATTACCGGTACGTTGAGCGTCGGCGGCCTGAGCTCCAGTCTTTGAAAAGAAACTAACTAAGTCCCCATAGTCCCAACTTATTTCAATGCTCCCCGACAATAAAATTTGGCAGCTACGGATGTGGATTTTACACCAATGATGGAACAGACAAGCCGTCGATTCTCTTAGCACCTAGTATCCTAATAGTAAATGCAGCGGGTGATATAGAAGGTAGTCTTACGGGGACCTCTTCTTCCGGATCGGTAACATCCAATGAAGTGATACCGACCGGCTCAACGAATACGATTAATTCGAACCTATTCACCTCGAATACAGCCGACCCATCAAGGACCCTCGGCGCGGGACCTTCTTCCTCAGATATTTCCGCCGTAGACACCTCCGCACAACCCGATTCGGACTCGTCAAGCTCAGGTCTTCGGGTATTAGGAGGTGGAGCTATTGCGGGGATCGTGGTGGGAGTTGTAGGTGCCTTGATGCTTGGAGCTGCGGGTACCTTTTTCTACATGCGTCGAAGGTCAGCGGGTAGCCCTAGCCCGCCGCCTTCATCCCCGTCGCCACCTACTCTTCCGCCTCGAAACCCCGAATTACTCGTACATGAGCTCCATGATAAGTCCAGACCGCCCGAGATGCCAGAGTCAAACGTGCTTTACGAGCTCCATCAACCCCATAGTCAATCGGAGATGCCCACGTGGAACGAACGCAACCCCCAGGGGCCGAACAGGCCAATGGCGTGGGAACTACCCGGATAGTTTATACGGCTTGATTGTGGCATATAGGAGTAGAAAAAGTACTGCGTGGAGCAGTGGCGTTTCATCGTCGTAGACGGGTTCCGGTCTATTGAATTTAGAGCGAGGCGTATATTTCAGGGGTAGCGAGTGTACATACCGATGATACCATCATTTGATCATACCTCCTAAAAGGCTTGTAGAGCAGATCTATACATTTGAGTTTGGCTGGCTCAATAACAAGAAGCACTTACTAAACCCTTCTCGGTGTATGCATCGAACGACGAATGGGTGCGTCGAGATAGTTGCATTGGAATAATTAACCGAATGAGCTGAAGACAACATCAAGCCTAGTGTGGCTCGAGAACTTTATGAGAGCTTAACCTCTAACGTTACCGGGTTACAATTTGGTCACATTAGGATTTTGTATCGTAGTAAGCTCTAAGGTTGATACCCCCTATTAGCCTTAGGTAGGCAGAGTTAGTGCTGTAATTTTCAGCTCATCTTTTTTGTAGTTGAACCGGCTACCATGCAAAGATTAGGGAGACATCAGTCTGAGTCTCGAGCCTTTATAGCAGCACCAGTGCGAGCTAGCCAGGTCTAGAATGATCAGTTGGTTAGACTAGGTTTATCTCGATGCATCGGTTGAGTGATGACTTTTACATATTTGCATACGAGGAACTCGGCGGTAGAGACGGCAAGGAATATCTACAACCTTAGTACCTATGTATAAGCCCACAATATTTAACATCCTAATCCCATATCCGAACAATTGCGTAGCTTCTATATATTGAGTTGACGTAAGAAATGCTTAGTTCTCTGACTAAAAAGCTTGATTTGAAGTCATGATAGTTTCAAGGGATATATAACAGGGACATCCTGTCCTGTTTCTTCGCGAGTTTGAGGGCGGTCGCAAGAGAATACCAGGAGAGTCCTAGGTTAGATAGAGGCATGTGTGTGGAGATACGGGAACTTTGGATATAACATTTCAGTCCAATGGAGCCCCTTCAATGCCTATCACATGTAACCCGACCAAGTGTTGCGTATTTATTCGGGCGGTATGATACCGGGAATGATGAATCATGTGTTATGCTCGAAAAGGTTGTCTCTCTTTCGTCTCTGGAGATTTACTTAAAGGCCAAGTAGCCCCCTCGATCACCCACTCTTCTTCTTTAATCGAGAAAAGCGAGCTACAAAAACAAGATCATATAAGTCGAGTAATATATTAACAGCATTCAATCGACATGGACAAGCTGAAGAAGGCAAAGGACTCCGTAACTGGCCAGACGTACGTTGCTTCTCCCGAACATGACCCCCTTACATGCGAAATAACTTACAATGGAAATAGTGCGGCCGACCAGACTGCCCAACAGCCCGGTAAACACGCTACCAAGGACACTACGGTCGATTCCAGTATGTTTTAGTCTTTACTCTAGTATCGTGCAGTTAATTAAAGGCATACCCTTAGTGGTGGATCGAGAGGCACAGAAGAAGGGCGCTCCTAGCGGAGCTGACCCGATGATCAATAATGTTGTCAATGACGAAGTCAACAAAGTCTAGGTACTAGCTTTAGAATAGTATGATATGAAGTGTTCATTGATGATATTATTACATAGTATATATTAGTCAAATCATTGTTGTATGGTGATCTCGCTCCGTTGCCCGTAAAAGGGTCCTATTGACGTGAAACCTCGCCATCGTAATGTACGTAGAGGATGTAGAGAGTAGCATTGATAATGGAATTAATAAAAGAGAAACTGTCCGTAAGAATATAACGATATAGGCCCCTGAACATCCGACCTTAATTTAGGTAAAAATATCATATATCACGACGTTTATTAGCATAATAAGTGCCGTACTCCATATAGAGAGCTATATCATACTTGGTATCAAGCGACCACAACTATCGACCACCAGCCAACAGCCTATTCCAACCCTCCTAGAGGCTAGCAACTCCTCACTAACTAGACCTCATTACTAGGATACTCCACCGTATTACTAGGCAGAAACTCCTCCTTAATGCTCCTCAAGCTCACAAACCTGCTAATAATGTTGATACTACCCGCCTTATCGTTCGTCCCGCTAGCCCGCGCGCCACCAAACGGCTGCTGGCCCACCACCGCGCCCGTGCTCTTGCAGTTGACGTAGAAGTTGCCCGCCGCGTTGCGCAGCGCGTCCTCCGCGGCGCGGATCGCATGTCTGTCGGACGCGAACACGGATCCCGTGAGCCCGTACTCGCTCGTGCCGTCCACCAGCTTGCACGCGTCGGCGAACGCCTTCTCGGCGTCGCCGGTCGTGTCGTCGTACACGTACACCGTTAATATCGGACCGAAGAGTTCCGTCGATAGCAGCTTGTGCGTCGGGCTGCTGGCCTGGTAGATGGTGGGGTAGACGAAGTATCCCTTGGACCCGTCGTACTTGCCGCCGGTCAGGAGCTCTAGCTCAGGGTCGTTCTTCGCTTCGTCGATGACTCGGGTTAGCTTTTTGAAGCTGGGCTCGTGGATCACGGGCCCGATGAAGTTCTCGGGTTTCCACGGCGCGCCGACCTTGAGCGCGCTGGTCTCCTTGACTAGCTTCTCCTTGAACTCGGGCCAGATCGACTTGGCGACGTACGCACGGCTCGTAGCGCTGCACTTCTGACCCGAGTACTCGAAGGCGCCACGGACGGTCTGGACAACGGCATTTTGGATGTCGGCGGACGAGTGGACCAGGTGGAAGTTCTTGCCGCCGGTCTCGCCTACAATGCGTGGGTAGCCTACGTACCGGGCCTCGGCGATGCCCTGTCCGATCTGACCGTACAACTTGCGGAATACGGCTGTGCTGCCAGTGTAGTGTAATGCGGCGAACTGCTTGTGCGCGAGTACCGCCTTGGTCACCTCTTCGGGATTTCCAGGCACGAACTGAATCACATTCTCAGGCAGTCCTGCCTCGAGTAGGATCTTGTGTAGTAGATAACCCGCCGCAACCGCAGAGTCAGATGGCTTCCAGATCACCACGTTGCCCAGAAGCGCGGGTGTTGCTGCCAGATTGCCCCCGATAGCAGTGAAGTTAAATGGGCTGACGGCGTAAACAAAGCCCTCCAGCGGTCGGTATTCGATACGGTTCCATAAACCAGGCGAGTTGTGGGCAGGTTGTTGTGCGTATAATTCTTCTGCATATTGGACATTGAAGCGCAAGAAGTCGCACAGTTCCGCTGCAGCGTCGATCTCGGCTTGCCAAGCATTCTTGCCCTGGCCGAGAATTGTAGTGGCCATAATTTCATATCGGTACTTGGTGGCTATGAGATCTGCCGCCTTGAGGAAAACAGCAGCCCTGTCTGCGAAAGGGAGCGACTCCCATGCTGGCTTGGCGGCCAAGGCTGCTTCGATGGCTTTATTCACATCGGAGGGACTAGCTGTGGAATAATTGGCTACCGGCGTATTGTGGTCGGAAGGGTTATATTGTGTAGACTTTTGTGATGTTTTGACCTGTATAGGAGATTAATATACGGAGCTTAAGGGGAGATTGGCCTTCGTATTATATATTATATATACCTCCTTGCCCCCTATCACGAGCGGAATTTCTATTGGGCCCTTCTTCTGTTGATTCTCAATTGCAGCGAGGAGTCCTGCTCTTTGCGCCGAGCCCTTCGCATATGTGTGCTGTGTATCTTGTTAATTACTTGGCCGATAATTGGTGAGACTGAAAAGAGCGTATAGAATAAACGTACGTTAGGTTCATTTGTAACTTTAGGTATCTTGAAAGTAGCCAGCGACGTTGTTCTGGCGCTCGTCGTACTCAAAGCCCTTATATTTCTAGGAGATCGAAGGGTTGGTAGACATTTAGAGCAAACCCTCGAAGACAGAATCGGGCTCTGCATTGCCCTCACAAGGCCATAGCCTCTGGGTGTAGATGCCATATCGAATATACAAATGAAGAGGATGGGGTATCTTAGTATTTTACTAGTATAGATCAACAAATTTTCGTCACTAGATTTTTATCGCTAGATATTGCGTGCAACGTAACTACTTATCAAATAATAAAGTCGACAGACGATGCTTCATCGGCGCTTCAACTCCGATGATTATGATGTAGGTGCTCGCTTTGTTGCGGCATAAGACGAACGACTTTGCGGGGCAATGAAGCGCGAAATCCCAATTGAAAGGAAGCACCAATTAGGAGCTTAATATTTGCTGTAGACAAGCCGAATTCGGCATGAGCTTCTTGAGCCGCCTTACGCCTTGCTATTCTTAGTTCGACTTATAAACTGGAAGCTAACATCCGATTAGAACGGAGAACGGCTAGATTCGTATCTCGGCGTCGGACCCGCTGAATCTTATCAATTCTTAATAACTTTTACAGGTAGTTATCGATTCGTAAACTGTGGAGTATAACCTCGGCATATGAACTTGGGTAGGCTGGGCTTCTGATATCAGCAGTGGAGTATAAAGTACATAACTATGAAAGGGATTCAAAAACTAATTCGTTATAGTAATCCTCTTCCTGGGGTATTATCCTTCGTCCGTTGTTTTAAATACGGCCTTGCATTCCTAATCCACTCTTGAAATATACCCGACAAGTGAGTTATATAATAAATCGCGTAACATATGCGCCCCTATCTCGAATACAGCTTCTAGCTAGGCTTGCCTCTAGTGAGTAGCTTCGGGCGCCGAGACAGGTAACGAAGGCGCAGTACTTGGAGCAAAAGAACTCGCAGCTCCAGCCGTGTCTGGTCGGCTTCGGTGGTGCCGAAGATGATGGGTGTGCGTGTTGGTACCAAACTTCCCAGCTTCGTAGTTAAGAACTGGAATTGTTAGACCGTACGGTTCTGTCTTGCCCTCCTTATCATGCTGGTCAATCTCTACCCGAATACAGACGTCGAGGCCACCATCGTTATCTTTGCCATGAGTCTCGAAATTCGCAGCCTTATGCTTAGTGCCCGCGCCAAATTCACCTTTGGACAGGAATGAGTGTCCATCCTTGCCCTCGAACTGATTCTCCGAAGGATTGGCGTCCGCCGGTTCTGCGTGGCCGTTCATAGCCCCACCCCTATTATTCGGCGAGTTTTCTGTAAGAACAGCATAATTTCGACTAGGCATCGTGACATTGTTCGAAGACCGTGTCTTGCTGGAACTCCCCGGATCCTTGTCGAAGAGCGCCATGAGCGTCTCATCTGTGTCCGCATCGAGATGATGGATTTTGTTACGGCTTGCTAGGAGGTTAGCAATTGCTGCCGGTGGGGGTTTATTGACTATCGCGGAAGATATCACGTTGACTATGTAACGATGATCGGCTTCAACTGGAATGTGTAGGTTTGGGTTTGAGTAAAACCGTCCGAGAGCTGCTAAGTGAACGTCCCCTCCGAGAATGGTGAGGCGGACCGAGAACTCTGAGCAGACCGTTTGAAGCCGCTTTATTAGAGCGTTTCGTTCTTTCTTATGGGTCCTGGCAGTATAATGGTCGTCCAAATCATCTAGGAGATCCACACTACCGTCGAAGTGATTAAACACGCCGCCACCTATGGTAATCATGAATAACCGCGACAGTTAGACAAATCAAGGCAGTACTTACCGAATCCGAATCTTCGGTTCAAGAATTTAACAGGCGCAATAAGGGGGCTGCTGAACACGTTTTCCAGCCAAGTGAGTCGCTAGCACTGTTAGTTAAGTGCGATACTTCAAAGGACACAAATACCTTACCGGATACGCAATCGGAATACCTAGCAACAAAATTAAATGCCTAAAAGGTCTACCAGCTGCTGCCGCTGCTCCTAGTTCGTCCCTCACCCGACCAAAAATGAGGTCGTACGTCTCAGGATAGTTAACCTGGTGTCGTGTACGTTCGATGCGAGCGTCAATGCCTAGGAACGCGATTCTGGCACCGAGCTTGGAGAACATGTTCATCGAGTGCTGGGCAACGTATGGTCCGGGACTGCTGCCGATGATATAGGACGAGTCAAATGATTGCTCTCTCACAAACGTATCCACAAGCTGCGTCGGATCGTGTTGCTGCAATCCATGCTCTTGGGTTGCGGGAACATCCGACGTGTATGTCGAAGGAGGTGGTGCTAGGTGATGCTGGAAAAGCATATAATATTTGTGAGCAGTGCCACCGATGCCTCGGAACACATCGCACTTCATGAACTCGTTAACATAGGATCCAAAACCGTCAATGATATCATGATCGTCCCAAATGTTTAGCTGCGGTATTTGTCCGTTGGCAGTGGCAAACGGTTCCGTTGAATACCACCGAATATAATTATTCAGGTAATAATCATCACAAGCTGCTCGCAAGCTTTCTGAGAAAGGGAAGTCGCGTCGTTTCTTCGGGTTCCCTATATCGGTCCATTCACGAAGAGGCCCGCTTACTCGAATACCATCGTTATAGATTTGGTCGCCACCTCCTATCATTACGTGGAATGGAGCTTTAGCATGGTTTCTCACTACATCATTCCATAGCGCCGGTCCGCTCCAGGCATCTTCGTCCGTGCCCACGCTGAAGCCATTGCACGAATGGAACATGATTCGCATCGACTCGTCGATGGCTGGAACGAAGAAGTAATTCGTCTTTGGCTTCGTAGCGCTTTTGTAACGCACATCGGCAATCGAGTACGCCCATTTCGTCTCGTTATCGCCGATTTCACAAGCAATAGGGAATTGCCAAAACGTGTTCCTGGGATCAGAATAGAGACAGATACCTGATATGTCAGCGCCATTCCGAACAGCACCGGAACTGCTCGTCCCTAGCGCCTCGGAACCGTTGACACTGGATTCCGGGTGAAGTAAACCTGATTGCCCGGTGGCCGTCTCCACACGACTGAGGCTTAAGACAGGCTGAAAGGCCTGGGTCTTGCCACCACCTTTGATAACAATCAAAACGCTTCCGTACCACGCCCTGCCTTCCATACGTCGGTAATTCAGTAGAGGTCCACACACCACCTCTTTCCCGTCGTCGACGATTCCTCCGTCGTGTGCGCCATCGACGTTACTAACAACAATCGGTTTATAACTTCCAGCTGCAGACCCGTCGCCCTCGACGCGCGCCGAGTTGAAGAAGTTGGATAAGTCCTTTGTGTCTCCACTAGACGAATGGGCATCTCGTGCATGTGCAGCGCGAGCGAAGGAGGACGACTCTTGATGTCTCCATTTATTGGCCGAGGCGTAAGGATTGCGCGGATCTTCTTCGATATGATCAACGTTCTCAGGCGTGGCCATAGTGCTTTCTAATACGACGGACCAACAGTTGCTTTTGCTTTTGCTTTAGCTTTAACTTGTTCAAAATGTATTGCTTCTACTCTAGTAATGTAGGCTCGAAAAGAATTCGCTAGTCGGTGTAGCTGACGGCGCTGATAAGAGCGTATCAGTGTCGAGAGTTCTCGATGTAAGGCACGACGAACGGCGAAACGCGACAAGTTGCTTTATTTAGACGAGGTCTACAGAATCGCGCCGTGGCGCGATTGGAAAGTACCTAATGTAGGCAAATTCAAATCTCGGTTGGATGCAGAGCACGAAAGAGGTGTCGATAATAAGATAAGTTACAACAAGTTCGACGGATCAGGGTATCACCAATGTATGTAATAAATGTAATAAACTAACAAAACAGGGACTCAAATGTAATGCCAAGAAACCGAGTACTCAAACATGAGTCGAACAAAAGGAAGCAAAAAGGAACAATTCAATTCTGCCGATATACGGTAATTAATAATTACATTTCAAGTTCAGCCCCCAGGCCCCAGGGGAGAGAGACGAAACAAAAATTGGCGAAATGAGGAAAAGAGAAGGTGTGGAAATTTTAGGTGAAATTGTAAGACAAGCCTCGTGCCGATTCCGAACAATGAAAATCATAACAAGTACAAAATCTCACGATCAGCAGTTTCCGTTGTCAGCAGTGATGATCCTTCCCAACCAGTCAGCTACTAGCTAAAGAGCAGCTAGGCCCGCCACAGCATGCAGGGGCCGAAGAGTGGAGCACGGGAATGATGTTACGTCGATGGTGAATGGTCCAGGGCTTGCGCCAGCGAAGCCTATCCTAATTTAGGGCAGGGGTTAGGTCAGTACCTACACTAGAAATGCGCTACGGGGATAGTGCAGACCGCTGTATGTATTGTACATACTTATCTGCTTATCAGCAAGGGAGGCCTCGCTGCTGTACCGCAGCCTCGTCGGCTATGATCTTGGCTTCGCTTGAGGGTGCAATACATAAGAATAATATTTCAGCTTTGCTCTCTCAACCATGGGTATTCTCTATATAGTGTCATACGCCGACGCGCGTCGAGGCTGTATGAACCCGTTAGGGCAGATGACAGGCTAAGCCATGGAAATATAGGTATACATGTCTTACACGTTTTTATTTCGAAGCTATTCGTTGGTTTAAAGCGTATGCATCTGCTGCACATAAGTTATTCCCCTAATTAGAACTGCTACCCTAAGAAATGACGTACGTCCCATGTGGGTAGGACGAATACTCCACAAAGGTCATGCTGGGTTCTGAATAGGTATTACCTGATATCTTGAAACGGAGTCTTTCTATATACAAACTCTATCATATCAGTCAGTATATTATACAAGATTTACAGGGCCGCCACCTTTCAACTTCGAGATCTGTAAATATGTATAGGGAGAATCGAGACTGAGTACATATACATAACTAGTAGTTTTTGTCATCGTTTAACGCCCGACAGCCGTTTAGAGCGTCTTTTGGGGGTCCTTCTCCTTTACTTGAACAACCTTCTCCAGTGCGCCCATAGTCTTAAGCCTTTCGGCCCTAACCCTCGCCTTCTCATCCATGTGCCTCTTAGCAAGTTCCGCCCCGGCTACGCCCGCTAATATACCTCCTAAGTGCGACGCAATGTCGATGTTATGTGTCTTCGAGAATAGGGGAAGTACGTGCATGCCCAATATTAGGCCGAGAAAGGCTAAGCCCTGAGGGCCAGACATTGGATCAGGAGGATACCCAAATAGTTTAAACTCGTCGTATTTGTGTAGCCAGAAATATGCAGCGATGATTCCATAAATTGCCCCTGAAGCCCCGAGCGTCGTGTATGTTAGGCCCCCAGAGAGAACTAGACGTGTCAGACTACTCATGAACCCTAAAGTTCCAGAAGCAAAGTACAAGGCGAGAAAATTGCCCCTTCCAATCTCGTCGTGAAGCCGGGTGGCGAAGAACCAAAACGCTACCATATTTAGGGCCATATGGCTAAATTTATGATGAGAGAAGATCGCTCCAACCAACTGCAAGGGCCGCGGTGTCGCGGGAACAACTATGAAGTATCGGTTCATGAGTGCCCATAGCGGTGGTACTCTCCAGTAAATCCAAACTGCCAAGTTAATTCCGACGATAGCAAGACAAGTTGCAGCTGCGGGTGGAATAGTTGGCCATAATCTTTCAGATCGTCTAGGGGGCGTATACATGATAGCAAACGCGGCACATCCTGCAAAGACTATAACGGTCATAATAAATTGTGGGAGTAGACGTTCCCAGGCCTTCATTTCGGGAGGTGCCTTGAGGTTGGATGTCGCGCGCTCTGCCCACTTCTTTACGAACGGGCTCAGCTCTTTCGGCTTCTGCTGCGCAGTCTGGAGGGTGCCGATGTTCTTCTTGGCCTCCTCTTCCTCGCGCTTCTTCCGTTCTTCCTCCAATCTCTTCTCTTCCGCTTCGCGTTTCGCAATGTTATGGGCGCGAATTCGGTCGAGAGGACTTACTCCATAAGGCGAGTCGGATTTATTTATTTTCGGGAGCCGTCCGGTTGGGATTGGAGTTTCATTCGTTACGGGATCAGAAGGGGATGCTTGCGGGCTAGTTTCTCCGGCTTGCTCTTCGCCACTCTCGTCTCCTTGCTCTAAATATTTGAGCTCATCTTCGGCCCGTAGGCCAGCATTAATAACCTCGTCTACGGGAATATTAGCACGTAGATATCCCAAGGCTTTCCTTTGATCCGCAGCGCTGAACTGGGCCGTGTTCGCTCGAAGATTCGGGTCATCTAGAGTTCCTGCTACTCGACGGCCATGTAAAATTCGTAGAAGCTTGTTTGCCAATGGAGCCGGGAGGTGCCCTCCGAGAAATATCTGGTTAACCTCTCTTTGGTTGAGATCTTCCTTGCGGAATGGTAAGCCTTTGCTATCCTCGTATGAATCAGGTAATTCCAAGTAATGCGTAATCGCGCGGAATCTAGAAAAGGTTCGAACGGATATCCGAGGTGACAGGCTATTTGGACGGTAGTTTTTCAGAATTGCTGAAGGGCTCGTGGCCCCTCTGTTGCTATATCGACAGCATGGTGTTATAGAATGGTGCTTCGTTGAAAACGAGCGAGCCGCATAAGAAATCAGCGAGTTCCCGAAGTTACCAGTGATGGCCCGCAAGCCAAGCCGAAAACTTGACGGGGGAGAGAGTGAGGGGAGAATAGGCATGGTATAGTGATTATACCATCATGCCGCTATATCATCTTTAATCTCGTGGGATCCATAAGGCTTATACGGGTGAGAGAGATCTAGGTCTTGAGCATGTTGTGTTGCTGGATAGATTCGATACTTTTCCCGCATCCGATTCCGATTTTCAATGGACCCATTTCACGTTTGCGCCAGCTGCATGGTTAGTTGTATCACGCTAATATGATTGGCTTAAGGGCAACCCCGCGCTAACTTCAACTCAATTCAGTGGAGCTCTTAAATATACTTAAGGTACATGAACCTTTTAAACCTTTTACTACTTCTATCACAAACTCACGACTCTACCTAATATATACCTGATATTGTTATGTACATTTTCGTTAATAGTAAGATGACTTACCAAAGTCACAACTCTCCAATATCTACCTGCTCCTCAAAAGCTGCGACAGGAGATGCATCAAAGTTCCTAATTAAATCGTAATAGAACCTAACGATTTCTAGATGCGCGTACATATCTACCCTTTCATCGACCGTATGAGCGTTGGCATTGCGTCCCTGACGAGTTGGCGTCCACCGATAAATATGGTTGGTCAAGTCTTAGAAATCAAAGATTAGCAACTATTATCAGGTCTAGTTATACGAATCTAGAGCTTCACTTACTCAGATAATGGCGAGTGTCCGTGTTACCCGTCATGAGTTCTCCTACGGGAATTACCTTTCCGCCTTCGAAAGCAAAGCTATGCTGGATAGTTCCTGAGAAAACATCCCAGATCGGCCCTGACGTCGGTGAGATCGGTGCAGCCAGAGTAGGCTGAGACGATGTAAGCACGAGTGTTCCATTGTATTCCACCTCATACATCGGGTCTACAACTCCGTCGCTGAGGTACTCATCCAGTTCAATATCTGGATTGTGTTCCTCCCCTTTGAAGGCGCTGACTTTCAAACCGAACTTTTTCACGATTGGCTTGATCTGTTTCAAGATGTTGGCCTTCACTGCCGATATGGAATCCTGAGGCGCGATGCGGTGGTTGACACCGATCTTGATATACTCTGGCATAGCATTGATTTTTACCCCTCCGAGGAAATAGTCGACAGCTTGAGAGGTCTGTATGCGATACTGAGTCGGCCGATCGATTGTAGCCAGTTCTTCGGTCAGTGATTCCAAGTCTCCTTTGTTTATTAGCTTAGTGATATTCGGTGACGCGTCAGGGGAATATTTTGCCTGGCAGACAAAATGATTGTGGATGGGCGAGCCCTCGATGAGCTTGGGTTTCCACGGATTAGATTCCAGGTGATTGACAAACTCAGCCATTATACCAATACCAGTATGCGGGAAAGGGGCCGATGAATGACCTCCATTTACGTAAAGTTCCAACCAGATATCAACATGGCCCTTTTCCATAACAGCAGGAAGGGCGTCTACAATATATAATTAGCCTAGAATTACGGGAAAACGTATTCTTACATAGGTACTCACACAGGGTGTCATTGCCAAGGAGTTGTAATCCCATTCCTCCTTCGTCGAGGATCAGGGCCACTGAGTTAGGGCCGTATCGCTTTTCCAGGTAAGGCCCGATATGGCCAGCTCCTCTACGACCTGAGCACTCCTCATCGAATCCAAGTGCGAGTATTATGGTTCTCCTTGGCGCCCAGCGAGGGTTTGATAGCAGGGCTTCTAGAGCAGAAAACAGGCCAGTCAAACTATTCTTGTCGTCCGATGCGCCTCGCCCCCATAGCCATTCCCCATCGAAATGAGCCGAGAATGGTGGATATTTCCAAGTTGAGGCGTCAGCAACGGGTACCACATCTTGGTGCGCAGCTAGCAGGAGTGGCTTAAGGGCAGGTTCCGTCCCCTTGATCGTATATACTAAACCGAACGTATTCACTGTCTCGCGGGCTGCTCGAAGGTGACTATGGATCGCGGTCAGTTCGAAGGGCCGGTGGAATATGACGAGTTTCTTAATGGCAATAGCAGATAACAATGCTATAGACGCTTACATATTAGGATACAAAGCAGCCAGGGCCCGGTGTAGGTCGTAGAATACATCCCATCTAGAGTCTTGGCCGGGTTCTCCATTATCATCATACGAGATGGAAGGTATCTTCACAATGGTACCATGTCTCTTGACCTGAAGTAGCAATGCCTCTTGATCAGAGAAGATATCACGAGCAGCTGGCAGTCCGTCTTTCGAAGGGTCTACCGCTGGTGGAATATCGCATTTGAAAGAGACCGGGTCTACGCCGTCGAGTACCTGTTGAGGCCCATCCCGGTTAATTGATCGAGCTATAGTAACCCCCGTCAAGGTACTGGCTACAAAGGCAAGCTTAGACACGATCATGACAATATTTAAGGGATGCCAAGAATAATGTAAAATAGAATTAGCGTCCTATTGTATACACAAAATGACCAACATTTCCGGAAACTAGAGACGAAGACAGACGGTAAATATAACACTTTCACCTTCCCGGATCTGATAGCTAGTCCAATTCCCGAATGTAATGATAGGAGCTCCATCTTGTAGGGAGCATCAACTCTGAATGGTCAATTCGAGCGGATACGACTCTTAGGAAGATAAGGAAGTTTGTACTATACGTAACTATACGTAATAAGATGCTGGGTAGGATGCCGAGATACAGGGCTCTTATCACATCATCCAGATTCCAAATTTCCTCAGACAGCCGAAACTCCAACGGTCCGGGGTGGAGAGGGAGAGAGTTGCGATAGCGGTCGTGATAATCTGATAATCTTATGTAAGGCAAGCATTAGTGGACATATACATATGTATCTAACCGTTACACTATATCAGTGCCCCGCATGCCCCTCGGTACCCATATTATATGGCCCAAGCTCCTTTCAAAATCCCTGCCAAAAAGTTTCCGGAACGTCTTATCGATAGCTCTATAGGTACCTACAGGTATTGTATGTACCTAAGGTAAGTACTTCTAGTACAGCTTCCCACCAGGCAGCTTTCAGCATTGCGACAACTTTGAATCATGTCAAACTAAGAGTCCCGAATTTACATAAATCGACCTCTCAACATACCGCAAGGACAAATAGTAGAAAACGAGACCCCTTCTACGATAGTTATGTCTTCTGAAACACAACCCATCAACCCAGCACGCTTTGCTGAAGCACTGAAGGACTTATCCGCTGAGAACCTCGCCCTCAAAGTCTTAGAGCTACGTAATTCGATAGCCCATCTAGACTATTCCAACGCTGAACTTAAGCCCTATGCCGAAGGGCGAGCGCCAACTCTAGACCAGCAGGGCGGACAGGGCGATACTGCACAGCCGGACCAAGACTGTATCGATGCCATCATAGAGAACGAGGCTGTTATCGCGCGCATGCAAGAGCGCATCGAGTTGATACGTACAGAAGTCGAGAGCCGCGGACTTAGCTGGCGCGAACTCCAAGGAAAGATCGACGATGATGATGCCACTCCTGCTGCAACCGATAGTTCCAACGCAGAAACTGACAACCTGACAAACGGAGTAAATGGTCATGGACCAACCGGAGAAACCCAACACCCAGCGTGGCGAGACGGTACATTCCAAACGGGAACTTTAAGTCAACTCGGAGATGAAGAGCGGGAACTTCTACGGCAGCTACAAAGTCGAATGCCGCCCGAAGACGACGAGGACCCCGAAGGTGGCATGCATCTATAAGTTAGTCCCGTGATGTATTTTGACGAACTAAGACGAAGGGGAAAAATCGTATCATCGTCGGTTTCAGAACAAGCAATGATAGTACCGGGAGTTATTTTATCCAGAAGAAAAACATCGGCATCCCCTTATATAAGGAATTGGTTGTACCTTATACGGCGGGGTTGAGCTGGAGGGTCTCGAAAGTGATCTATCCCGAATCTACGAGGCGAATGACCTCACGTAGGGATAGTATGTGTAGTACATTTACTGACACTTGGTCGTAACACTGGCCACCATACGGGGCCTTGAGGATTCCTTAAGACCAAAGTTGGTAGAGCACTAGACCATAGTCGTGTACATGGTCGTATACGACGAGAGTGTTCAGTAGCGGAAGATTTCAAGTCGATATTAATTGAGACAGCCAGTAAAACACATATCGTTGCCGCTATTAGGACTTAACTAAATCACTTGACATAACTAACATAAATAAACTCAACATATATCGTATTCATTGCCAACACCTTTCATTACCATTCCTAAAGTTCATTCTGCCAGTATCGCCCAAACAAACCAGAGGTCTTATAATAAGAAAACCTTCTTCCTTACGTGAAGTACTAACTTAGGGGAATAAGATAGATAAGTCACGTTCGAATCCGCCCAGAAACCATTATCAACCATGTAGTAATATAGCAAGCATACTATAGCTTAAGAACTACACAATAACCACCCGTACGCCCTTACTATCGGCCCTAGTCATAGGTATAACTATATCATAATCATACCAAATATCCTCCTCGGTAGTCTCAAACAGGCGCATATGCGGAAATACGCGTAACACCGACGCGGTAAGACCGAGATGCAATTCGCAGAGCGCAAGACTATATCGAAGTAACTTATTAGCAGCAGCGCTACACTAAAGCAAACTCCGGTGGCCGGGATTCACCTACTTCATACCAAAGCACATCCTGCTGCCCTTCCCGAAAGAAAGGTGGTGTTGCTCCATCTCCCTTCTCTTTTCTAGATCGTCACCCAGCCACCGCTCGGGTATGAATTCGGACGAGTTCGGGAATAGGGTCTCGTCGTGGTGTACTAAGTGTGTTGACATGCCGACGGCGTAGCCCCGGGGGATAATATACGCAAGCGACACGTTCTTCTTGCTACCCTTCGGTTTCCATTCCCCGCGGTATACTAGGTCCTCCTCGGGCGCCACGCGGGCAGTGCGCCCGGACACGCCGTACGACAGTCGCAAGCCCTCCTGGATCACGGCGCCGAGGTACGGCAGTTTTTCCAGCGTCGTCCAAGGGGGTAAGTTCTGCGGGTCGGATACAGCGCCGCGCAGCTCGTCGGTTAGTTTATCTAAGAGGCTCGGCTTCGTCAGAAGGTGGTATGTAATGACGCTAAGGGTCCAGCTCGCGGTCCCGGTGCCGCCACCCATCATGGCGGCGGCCTCCCTTACGAGCCGGGCCATGGTTTTTTCTTGCTCCGGTAGGTCTGACTTAAGTAACTCGGCAAAGACAGTCGGGCGCTCGCGCTTGATGTCGGCTTCCATATTGAGCTTGGCTTTCTTAACCATATTGGGTAGGATAGTCTACATTTATCAGTTCGAGCCTATGACTCGGCAATGTTCTTACCACACACATTTATCGTCCGGACCATCAACGCAGTGTCTCGAGGTAGGTAATTTACGAACCTGAATTTTGTCAATGGCTGAGATGCAGTATAGTACTTCTTAGTCATAACCTACCGCGGACTTGCCTCTGTAATGTATTTCAGGAAGGGAAAGAAGCGGAAGATATGAGCCGTGTTGAGGAGAGCGATTAGCGATCGTAGGTAATTGGGTTCCCACGATTCTTGATCGAGATGTCCCAAGCTTTCGCCAAAACTATAGTCTGAGATTGCATCCGCGGTGAAACAGCTATAAGCCACTACGACAACGGAAGTCAACAGTTACTTCTTTCAGTAAGAAAGAATACCAGGTGTCCAGACGTATCTTGAGATTAGGAACTCCTTAGTCATTGCAGTAAGGAGATACTAATTTTGAAGGCGAGCTAAAAAGACGGAATAAGGAATTGTTTATGATACATACTCGCAAGGTCGAAGGGCTTGCCCGTACCCGCCTGCGCCAGCATCTTATCGCAGAGACGCTGGGCTAGACGCTGGACCAGCGGCTCAAGCTGCGCGAGCTGAGCTCTAGAGAAGAATTTCGCTACCGGGATACGGCGTATGCGGTGTAGGTTATGGTCGGAGGTTCCAAAAGTAGCGGTACCCATGCTAAGCTGCTATAAGTTTCAAGCCCCTAGCGAGTTTATGCGAAGTCTTACGCCGACCCGGTTATCTGATGTAGCGGCTTGTCACGCTTCCTACCACCCACTGCATAGATCTCGTCCATAAATCGAAAGTCGTTACAGTGAACCTCATCGGGGTTAATGCGAACTAGGGGGCCTTGATAATGTTAGTTTGACACACACAAGCCCATACTATCTCCCCAATAGCACGTGGGAAATATCAGTACCGTATATTTCGTGCATTCTCCTTATTTCATGTGTGTATCGCCCGAACTTTACTACGTCGTGGTAGAATTCCGGAAGATACGTTGCAGCTGCCAGTCTCGGACCAGGAATGCGGCTGAGAGGGTGGAAAGGGGATATATTCCACATGGCACGCACGAACTGGTAAAGTATCCAACCGAAAGCGAGGAATTTCATATAGGAGGCCGCCATATTCATCACTCCATCCTCACGGGATGGTAGCACAGAGACAATAATATCCAAGAGCGCCATAGTATAAGAGTTGAATATAGCGGTAGTTAATGGATTATTACGCTAATCGACAGCTTATATTCTGATCAGACACCTTTGACGAAGCTAGCTACCGTGAGGAACACCCCTCTTTTATAATGGCTACTATCGACTTTACCTATAATAGTTGCATCATCACGCCGCATATACTCCTCACTATCAAGCTTGGAAGATATGTTATACGAAGCCACCCTCGGAAATCGCACCTATCATGGCAGAATCAGGGTTACGCCGTTGAGAGGGGGGTGGACGGGGGAAATACCTATTGGTTTTCCATAGCACTCTGTGTAACAAGAGGATCCTTTCCGGTTTATAGGGGAATGTAACATAGGGGGGTATGTCAGCATAGGAGAGGATAACGTAACTTGGAGATATGTGCAACGTATGAAGACTCTACTAGCGATGCTTGATGGCACCCCTCCAAATGCTATCTATTGAAGTATAAATATTCTCCTAACTTATCAAGGTGATCTAAACCCCTTAAGAGCTTTCGTACGTAAGTGTATAGGTAGAAGGAGGGTACACCGATGGCATTTTAATTCAATGTTATTAAATGTTACTTAGACCTAGTTATCCTATACCTATGTTAGCTTTCTTTTTTAATGGCCTAGCTGTGTGAGTAGTTTCTCGTATATGCCTAGGTAGTTAGGTGGTCTTTGACCTCGAAATGTATAGGTAGACCATGAACTGAGGACTTATATGCTTATCGACAGATGTACAGATATGCAACAGCTGTGTACGCATTTGTACCTTTTATAAGACTTAGGTACTACTTAGGTACTACTTAGGTACTACTTAGGTAGGTATATGCAAGTATTATTTCAGTCCAGTGCTTTCAAGTTTTTCAACTATTCACGTGATTCGAGTGGCGGAGTTAAGAGGCGCTTGCGTAGGTTAAGTTTTGTTGAATAATTTATGTATTGATGGAATTATTATCTAAAGGAATTATTATTTTTTTTTTACAAACACTCAAGATGATTCTGAATGTCTGAATGACACGTGACGATCAGTCACGTGTTGAGATGTACCTTGGTACATCTCACAAGTTTCTAGACTTGCCCGCAGTGGTAAAAGCCTGAGAGCCGCATAGAATTTAGTCGGCCCTATCGTTGGATTAGTACTGTTCCACCCAGCGCTAGGTACTCGGTAAGTTTTAGTTATATAGCGTTAAATCAGTAGCAATCATCAACCAATGGTCAGCTTATGACTACGAGATTTTAAAAAGCACCTTGGCGCAGTGGAAGCGCGCCGGGCTCATAACCCGGAGGTCCTCCGATCGAAACGGAGAGGTGCTATCTCATTCTTTCTTTTTGCGCTTTTCTGCAAATAGTTCCTTCCGTCACTCTTTTTTTTTTTTTATAAATTCTCTTTTGGCACTACTTTTGACAAGCTTCATTTAGACCCATACAATACATTCGCAACCGAGTTTTCATCTTCTTTTATCAGGAGGAAATACAAAATTTCCTTGCAAAAATTCACGCACCTATCTAATACGAGTTAAGCTCTTGGACAAGTGGCGTCATGTGGCTGTGCTAACGGTAAAACACGACGCGAAAGTGATAGGATTAGGTACCTTTTACCTTATCATTCCTTTGGATCGTTGCCTCGATTCTGACAGGTTCTTCTCCTCGGCATCCTCTGAAATTGCCTTGGACATTTAAAAACATGTGTGGCATCCATGGCGTAGTCTCCACGACTGCCATACCGGACATTTCCCAAGAGTTGAAGAACCTCTTGTCAAATCGTGGACCCGACCACTTCGGCCAGCTTTCTCGCGAGCTTCCCTTTGAAAATGGAAATTCGTTAATTCACCTCAATCTCACCTCTACTGTGCTAGCCTTACGAGGAGACCATATTGCAAAACAGCCGTTGGAATCGTCTGCAACCGGCTCTATTCTGTGCTGGAATGGAGAAGCTTGGAGGATCGAGGGCCAACCCATCAGTAGTAAAAATGATGGCGAACTTATCTTAGCCAAGCTTGACGCCGCCGATGCACCTTCGGCTGAGGCCCGAGAGTCACATATTCTAAATGTTCTGCGCAGCATTGATGGTCCATTTGCCTTTTTATTTTATGATGCTCAGGATAAGCGTCTTTACTTCGGTCGAGATCGCCTTGGCCGACGATCACTCCTACTTAGCCAAGACGAGGATGGCGACTCGATTTCTTTCTCGAGTATCGCGGATGTACCTACTACTGGCTGGAAAGAGGTTAATGCGGATGGAATATATTCCTTGAACCTCGCTACACGTCTTGCAACGTCTAGTGGAATGAAACTTGACACCCATCTCACCAGGTACGACTGGGTGACATCAGGAGGGGATAACATGGTAAGTGTTGATCCGGAATCTGAAACTACGTGTGCGATCTTTGCTATAAAATTTTCATGACAGGTTTCAAGCATTGGAAGCTTCAACATGACGCTGCCGCCACCCGACCACAAGCTGGACTTTAGTTCCCTCTCAGTCAATCTTCTTGAACATTGGCTGTGCGAATCTCTCAAGCTGCGGGTTTTAGACATTCCAGAGCCACCAAACCCATTATCTGACACCGACGTTCGCGTCGCGGTTCTTTTCTCTGGAGGTCTCGATAGTACCACCCTTGCCAGGCTTGCTCACGACTTGCTCCCTCCCGATCAGGGAATAGATCTAATCAACGTTGCCTTCGAAAACCCGCGCCAAGTCTCCGTAGGTAAGACGATGCCTCATCTGGATGCAAGAGACATATATGAGGCATGTCCAGACAGGAAGACCGGCCGAAAAGCGTTTGCCGAGCTGAAAACCGCCTGCCCTACACGCTACTGGCGCTTCATCGCGGTTCGTCTCTGGGTTACCTTGCTTAGGGTTAGATAATAAACTAACCTGCCTAATAGGTGAATGTTTCATTTGAGGAGGCAATGAGTCATAAGGCAAGAGTCGTTTCTCTTATGTATCCGCATAACACTGAGATGGACCTGTCCATTGCTCTCGCACTTTATTTTTCTGCACGAGGTATAGGCTACGCCTACACAGATGAGTGCGAATGGCAGCCAGATCCGCCAAGCGTAACCTCGCCCGCTAGGGTCCTGCTATCTGGTCTCGGGGCAGATGAACTCTTCGGTGGTTATTCACGACATGAGATAGCGTTCAAGGCTGGCGGATACCCCCGCCTCCTTGACGAACTAAAACTGGACATAGGTCGTATCGGGCAGAGAAATCTAGGCCGCGACGACCGGGCTATGGCCCATTGGGGTAAGGAGATTCGCCATCCTTTCTTGGATGAGGAACTTGTCAGGTTTGCTATCAGCACCCCAGTCTGGGAGAAGTGTGACTTTCAGAACCAGTTTCATCCAGCCGTTATCGACCCCGCCAAACGAGTATTGAGGCTCATGGCCGATAAGCTTGGCCTATCCGTAATTGCGAGAGAAAAGAAAAGAGCGGTAAGATAACACATAGTTAAGGGGCTAGCTTGAAAACGTGCTAATAATCTGGTAGATTCAATTCGGCTCAAGGACAGCAAATATCGAAAGCCGCACCGGCAAGCGCCGGGGTACTGCGGCCATCACTGAACTTGTCTAGTTCTGTCAACTATTGATAGTTATAAGAAGCGAGTAGAATTAGATGCTCTGGTGATGATGATATTATCAGATACTTCCGAGTTGGTTCCCAGTTCAAATCTCATCATGTGTGTTTCTGCGTTCGCAGTAACCCTCTTGGGATTTGGAATATTGGTTTTTATCACCGACAATGACGTCTTAAAGGCATGTCTGAGCCAGAGCTTCCTCTACTTGACATCTTACTAAGGAATCAGATTATATAGGGAGGAATAATCGCGATATAGACATGCGTGTTTGGTTGCGTACCCACCTAGCGAGCTTGTCCTAGATAATAATGTTGACGATATCTAAAATAAAACCCCCTTATCCAAGACTTTTACTTCGTTTTTCTGGTATTATTAACATATATTCCTGTAACAACAGAGTCGGATTCGGAAGTTGGTCAATTCCATGCTCTCCAAGAATGCCTATTATTATCAGTGACTTTTAACCAAGATACTAGCAAGTCACCCTGAACATTAAACTGCGAGGTGGGAATACATTATCAATACTCAAAGCAAATGATTCTTTTTCTATTAGTTAACTCTAGTAGGTCCTGTTAGGATATTCCGTAAGACTGCATACAATCACATGAGGAATCTGTTGTCTATATATTTAAGCATCAATTAGTATCCGAGGGCTATAGAGGATATATGGATCATCCATTCATATCTTCCCGGACGAAGCCGACCATACCCCCTCCCAAAACTCATCGCATTTTTATCAGCAATATGAATTAGCCCTTGATAGTACTCGCTCCCACAACACCACGTGAAACCATATATCTGAGCTATCATATAGCTCTAAAAGCAAAGAAGTTGAGCCTAGATCGAGGAGGAAATGGATATAATGGCAAAAATCATTCATACAGATACCTTCAGCAGTTACGAGGATCCCGAGCACAATTACCACTAGGTCTGAGGGTTCTACATTCTGACCCGAAGGAGGTATCGCAAGCGGACTTGAGAGATATCGTAGCAGATATACTCATTGTAGAGAAGATGGGCATTAGGAACGCCGGTGGCGCCAGGCTTCACGTTACTATCGGGCTAGGGAAAGAGACTAGTTAGCATCAACATAGATAAAAGGTCAAAATCAGGATTAGATTATTCCTACCATTTTCACTCCCTTCAATGATGGATGAATGCATTCGGCATCTTTCCATTGGCTCGGGCCTGTGGACCCCTGGCCCCAAGTCGATAGCATCCCCTTCGACTTAGCATCTTCGGCAGCGCTATACGAGGCACCGGTGAGTACCTGCATTGGATCACCCAGTTCTGCTTCGCAAAGAAGGAGCAGCGCATGCCCGTTGCTGATCGATGGGTAGCAGTAGTTGGCAGACTGCGTGAGAGGTCAATATTGAGCTCCGCAAACTAGAGTTAAAATACTCACCTTGCTGGACATATCCGC